AACGCCGGATGGTCCAGACTAATGAGAAAACCATTTGTTTTAGACATTGTGGTAGAGGCTTCCCTCTACGTACTAACCTACAAGGACATCAGAGGGCTCATACTAATGAGAAGCCATTTCCTTGTGATATTTGTGGCAGAAGCGTCTCGCCGTGTTGTGCTCTACGAAAACATCGGAGGATCCACACTTATGAGAAACCATTTGTCTGCGACATTTGTGGCAGAGGCTTCTCTCGATATGTCCCCGATGTGCCCGATATAACCTTAAACGGGAACTAATTGGTTTTTATGTCACCCTACCAACGGCTGGAATACTCCCACTTCCACTGTAGGCTTTGCCAAGGCCAGCAAACCTCCATGGCCTCATCAGGACGATTAATAAAGCCAGGTCCTACACCGCTGAGGGACTCAAGAGCCTGCAGGAACTGTCCAGTGTCGATGTCGTGGTCAGTGAAGTCCCGACGGTATAAGGCATGCCTGCCCACTCCCCTAATCACATTTTTGTGGGGCTGGGAGTGGGGTTAGGGGCAGCTGTCTTCTCTTTCTCAAAGCCGTCAACGGCAGCTATTTGTTTTAATTTTCAATTGAAATTAAGTCAGGTTTTTTTAGGCCACTAGTAAAATACTTAATGTTCCACAACTGTAGGGTTACTGTTGTTGCACTTGGGAGAAACCTCCGCGCATGATTCCTATTAATTCGTGCAGTGGAAACAGTTTTTTTTTTTCGGTGTCAGATGGTGTCACCCTGAAATTATTCTTACCAATGCACTCGTTAAATGTTCAATATTTGTATAATCATTGCATCTTTTTGTCAGACACATCAGGCACGATAGAGCGCATTTAATATGCAATGTAATTTGTATCTTTTGGCTGGTGAACTAAGCTCAGATCTCTTTAAACTTTTAGTACAATTTTTAGCCAGTGACTCGAGGCAACTACCCTCTTTGATATAGCTGTTAAAGCGGTTCAATAATTATGCCCTGATCATGAATCACCAAGGGCGGATCCAGGGGGGGGGGGCCAAAGGGGGCCATGGCCCCCCCCCAAAACGAAATCAATTTTTTTTTTTTTATGTGACATCGCAATAACGGCAGGCAATGAGTACACCACCATCTTTTCCTCAAAAAAAAACATTGGTTAAAGTGGTCAGAAGCTGCCTCAGATCGCACCACAGAGCATCTAGAATCCAAAAAATTTTCGGGGCCCTTAAGCGGGCCCCGAACCCCACGCCGTAATTTTTTTGACCCACTTTTTGACATAGCAATAAAGGCTGGGCAATGAGTACACCACCATCTTTTCCTAAAAAAAAAATTGGTTAAAGTGGTCAGAAATCGCCTCAGATCACACCACAGAACATCTAGAATCCAAAAATTTTTCAGGGCCCTTAAGCGGGCCCCGAACCCCACGCCGTTATTTTTTTGACCCACTTTTTTGGGGAACCAAAAATTTTTTTGGCCCCCCCCAAAATTGTGTTCTGGATCCGCCCTTGTGAATCACAGTAACCGTAAGTGCATGACTTTTTTGCTTGTTTTCATGTGAAAATTGATCTCCTTACTACATGTATTCGGCTTTTGATTATTGCAAGTCATAGGCCCGAAGGTGAAAAGTGACGGTATTTGTTGAAAATATGTAGGCTACATTGTGTATCTAACTATCTAACTGGTAAGCAAGAAGTATTTTTCTTTGACAATCTCCTTTCACGATTCCTTTCATTTCATAAATGTAACTTAAACGTTGTTGAAGCATTGAGGAGCATCTATTTAAAATAGCAATTTGTTGAGGGTGTTTAATTTGTGTTTGGTATCATCGGAACAATACAGCTGCATCATTTTGGGTTCACGTTTCTGAGTATTCTTTCATTACATGTTATAATTAAAACGCATGTCGTATTGATTATTGTTCAAAGTTGTGATTTGAATTTGTTTTCCCATTACTGTGTGAGCGATATTACTCCGTTGGAATGACAATCATTACAATGTATCTTCAATAAAAGAATTAAGAGGTAAAGGCATGTATACGATAAGTTAAAAAAAATTGCTGGTGTGACGTGTACAGGGTAACCCCCCAAAAAATGCAACCCTGAAACATTTGCCTTTTTTTTCCTTCAAAAACATGATCTGTGAATTTTTTTTTTTAGGTATCAGATTAAAGCCGAGGGTTTTTCTTTCGAATACTGAAGAAAAAAAATCATGAAAACAGCACATTGGGTTGCTGAGAAAATGCCAATTCTGTAACACTACTCCTTTTTGGTGCATTCCAAAGGCCATTACCACAGTTAAGGGTTTACACTGTACCTTTCTGTGCATGAGAAATGCATGTAGCGCATTGTTTCCTAATCCTACAACACGGCACATAATGTGACAAGAGTACAAATGAATTTGATGGAAATACATTTTATTTCAAACCTGAACCGGTAATCTTAGGCCAAAAAAAAATTGTCTCCGGTTTCTGGTATGCGCGCGCGTCGCCGTAGCCATGCGCGTCGGCAAAATGAAAAGGTTTTTTTTTTCAATGAAAGATGATGTCTCAAAACCGCCAAACTCACTGGTTTGACTGGAATCCTGCTGCTGCACAATTTTAACGTGTTTTTAGATTGGGTTATGGTCGAGAATAAGCTTTATGTGGCCTCTCTGGCCTCTCCATATATATTTGCACTAAGTTTAATCGGGCACCATTTGCAGTCATCAGCCGACATTTGAAGCAAAAAAATCAGGTGGAAAAAAAAGCCGCGTCGCCGCACCACTTTTTGGGCAAGCTCCATACCAGAAACCGAAGACTTTTTTGTTTGGCCTTATCCTTTTTAGTCCTACATTCTAAACCTTTTCAGCATCATAAATATGTCAAAATATTAAAGAAATTGCACAATGAAAGGCATAATAAAATGAATGTTTCTGTGCCATGGTCTAAGACGTTTTCAATAATCAAGTACGATGCAGAAAGCAAAGTGGAACAAGCTGGACAGTAGAAGTACTGCTACCATCTAACAAGTCATCCATCAGACCAAATTTGGAATATTGCTATCGAATTTGGGGATCAGCAGCAAAATCAAAACTGGGGATCCTTGACAAACTTCAAAAGAAGGCCATAGCTTCCGCTCCACTAAATCTTCATGCTGAGCAAGGTATTCAGCCTCTAAGTCATCGTAGGCAAGTTGCTGGTCCAACAGTTTCAGGAAAATGCAGTGCTCTCCTCTGTGCCTCATCCACTGGACAGACTCAAACTACTGCCATTTACAGCACGCCGTTCTACTATAGGCAGTCATCTGCATCTCATCAACATACAGTTGTCACCCGAAGTCAAGTACCTCACGGCCAGTGGCGTAGCCAGGAATTTTTCAAGGGGGGGGGGGGGGGGGGGGGGGCTGGAACATTTCATGGGGGGCGTCATATAGATCAATGATAATTTTTTTAGAAACTCAAAATCTCAGTGGGGGCGGGGGGGGGGGGCGGCGACTTTCAAAATTTCAAAACGTAAAATTTCAAAACGTAAAAATTCACAGATCACGTTTTTGAAAAAAAGGCACATTTTTTTCGGGTTGCGTTTTTGTGTGTGGTCACTCTACTATACTGTCGGCTGCGCAGCAGCCGGACACAAGGTACGTTTCTCCAAATGGCTCTATCTTGGGCAAACTCACCGATCTCATTAGGTGTGAGAGCTACGTCTTTAGAGAGTAGTCTGGCAATGTACTGTTTGTAAATCAAAGCACGTCTTCATTTCCCACCGTCCTGTGGACAAGTAATTGGTAGAGGTCGTCTTTTGTGACGTTTTTTTTTGTAAGTCTCAATCAGCTGTTGAGTTGGGCGCATGGACATTGGCTTACAATGTTTTTTTGTTTATTTGTTAGGCTTCATGGGCGTCGCGAGGGAGGGCAAGGGGGCGCAAGGGGGAAAAAAGAAAAGCAAAATGTCCCTGCCCCCCTCTAAAACTGATAAATCGAGAATTTGTTGAGAAATACAAGAATTTCTTGGGAAAAATATGTTTTGCCCCCCTCTAGAAAAATCTTGTCGACGCCCATGTTTGGCTTGTAGTGTTTTAAGATAACCAGTTCTTAATTATCAATTTGTCTTAATTTTTAGTTCTCACTCTTTAATTATCAACCTTACTTTTTGAAGTTTTCAAACTCAGTGGTCGTTCCTGTATAATCATGAATCGTCTGGATTGTTCAAGTTGTGCTCCACACTATCAATGCATTAGTTTACATAATCACACAATGTGCCTGAACAGTGTATATTGTTTTGTACAGAGCAGAATTAATGAACTCGATCGCTGTTAATTAACCGGTTTAACCCATACACGTTCCAGAAGACTTTTGGTCATTTTGATTGAAAGGATTCCTAAACATTCATAGTCGGCTGAGAATCAAGGAAACCAAGACATATGACTTCCGGTACTTTAATATTTCTTACTTCAACCAACTACACTCTCCTGTTAAGCAGTTCTTCAATTCCATTCATTTTATTCAACCAGTAATTTCTCAGCAGTATTCAATATACCTTCCAGTTCCTCCGTTTACTTTTTAGCCAGTTCAGTTATCTCAGTGGGTATTGTTGTGGATCTGGAATGAAGACGCTGTTTGTTAACATGAGTTCTCAACTATGTGTACCTACATGTATTTCAGTTTTTGGAGCACCAAAAGTGGACAACCCAACAGTTCTCATTTTCTGCAAGCGGATTCTTAGGTTATTAGACGGTCGCTTCACCCGTTTTTTAAAAAAAATTCAATAAAAAGCTGCTAGCAAAATTTGAATTGTTTAATACTTTTGACGAGCACTTTTCTTGACGCCCCAAAAGTGGACAACTAAAAATCCTAAATTTCTGTTAAAAAAAAATTCGGGTTGAACTTATTGAAGAAACCAAAATCTCTTATTTTTTCTCTAGCAGAAATTTTGTCGCATTTTAAGGCCTTTTCCGAGGGTGGTTTTCTCAATAAATCAAAAATAATTTTTATAACACTCCGACTTTTCGAGGGGTCCGGTCCGGAAGCGCGCCACCAGGGGTAAACTTTCAGGCTTTTTATCGATCGATCACTGACACTGACGTCGCGTCTTAATTTGGCCGCGCCCATCGATCTATCGCGGCGCGGCTGCGGTGTTGTTGAGGGCGCTATCAACAAGTCCAGCTCTGCTGGCCGTCTAGTTTTGGCCTAGTTTCCAAACTTCGTCAAGTTCGTGATCAAAACTTCAACGTTGAACTTTCAAAACTACTTTACCTGTTTACCAGCAAGTTGAAATTGATGATCATATCTACGTGACTTTTAAACTATATTGCTCCGGTAAGATCATGATTATTATAACTTGGTAAGGAAAGATTCCCATATCTGGCCTACACAATGGCATGGCCAACCCTGTCCCTGTGGCTGTGCACAAACCCTATGATTATGAAGTTATGACTTGGTAATTTGAGACTGGTCTGAAAATTTCTAGGCCTAGGCCTAAGTGTTTTCTCAGTAAATACTTCAATATTTTCCCTGCTAATTGTGATTTTTTAGGACATATCACTTTCTGATGGCTGATAGGCCACTGATGAACTAGACCCGTGAACGTGGCTATATACATAGCCACGCTTCAGTCTATAGTAAAAACACTCTATTGTGATCCGCGGTTACTAAGATGGAGTGACCGTTCTAGCCGAATTTCGGCTACATTTGACAGAATATTTGCATACAAAAATGAGTTGTACAGAAAATCAGCAGAATATTTTTTTCGGCAGAATTATGAAGATGAAGGAAAAATGAAAAAGATTAGAGAAATATGGCACATTTGGTTTGAAAAACCTTCATTTATTGAAAGATCCCTGAAACAAACCCTTGCACAATGGACCAGCAATTCTACTGGGTGATTTGACAGACTTTCGAAGTGGATTTAGCAGAATTTTATATGGTATTACGGTCAGCCTGCCATGTAAGACGGTTAGTCGGGTACCCACTGGTGCTACTCCAACCGTTTTGCACATGCGGAACTCGGGGTACCAGAGTGTCATGCCTGTCTTAGATTTCTGATCATTTTGAAACATTCGTTGTGACAAAGTTGTGCCGTGCTTTACATCAAATTTCTTGGCAATGACAGATCCAACACTCGCGTATATTCACAGGAAGCCCAACAAGTAAGTGATTCACCCATGGGCAAAATTATACATGTCGTTATGTAGCGGATCAAAAGATAGAATGCTGTCGCTTGTATTTACCCGAGGGAAGCGCGTGGCGTTGTATATACAACGCCACGTTCACGGGTCTACTGATGAACATGCTGAAAGTGAAGGGAAAAATTAGTGATGGCCAGATATGGGAATCTTTCTCTTGCAGTCTTGTAGCCCCACTAGTGTGGCCGTCGGTATGCTGCGCTGAACCTTTGGCCACACACCGTGGTACCGCGCGCTACTGAGGACGAAGTTTTTCATAAAATTCAGGGCAGTTTCTTACATTTTCAGTTTCTTACTTTCTTATGGTTGTATTCTATGATGTCTCCTATCACTTCTGGGATGCTTAGCATGTGCTTAGGTCTAATGATGTTCCATTTTCCGAGATATTCTTCAATCTTTCTGGAGTCCATATGCACTCGTGAAACGTCTGGTGATGGCAGCCATTTTGAATGGGACAAGAGATGACCTCAAGCTGTGACGTCGCGTGTATGCAAATTGCTTGAGCGCGCGAGGGCGCAAGTTGCAAATGCGACGGCTGTTTCCTGTACCATGCATTTATCGTCAGGGGGCCACGTGCACCGATCTCTATTCAGGATCTACGGCACAGGAAACAGCCGTCGCATTTGCAACTCGCGCCCTCGCGCGCTCGACAAGCAATTTGCATAAACGCGACGTCACAGCTTGAGGTCATCTCTTGTCACATTCAAAATGGCTGCCACCACCAGACGTTTCACGAGTGCATTATGGGCTCCAGAAAGATTGAAGAATATCTCGGAAAATGGAACATCATTAGATCTAAGCACATGCTAAGCATCCCAGAAGTGATAGGAGACATCATAGAATACAACCATAAGAAAGTAAGAAACTGAAAATGTAAGAAACTGCCCTGAATTTTATGAAAAACTTCGTCCTCAGTAGCGCGCGGTACCACGGTGTGTGGCCAAAGGTTCAGCGCAGCATACCGACGGCCACACTAAAGGTTCAGCGCAGCATACCGACGGCCACACTAGTGGGGCTAGCAGTCTTGGTAATTTTATTAATTGTTTTCTTTAGGCCTACATCATGAGTTTGGCGATCGTGAAGTGTAGGGCACCTGTTTTGTTTAATCAAATGAGGGTAATCCTTACTTTTAGGACACCTCTATTTTTTACGAGTTCTGTTCAAAACTGACTTTTGCAGATGTCTGTCCAGTACCAAAGTGACTTTTGCAGGCTAAAGCAGTCTTTAGAAGTCAAGAAGGTGTCATTGCCAATTGTTCAGATGTGCCAAGAAGTATCAGAATGTCAATTTTGAGTGTCATTTAGTCAACTGTTTTGGTGAGTCTTTCCCTTCCTATATAGGAACGGGGTCCTAAAAGTAAGGATTACCCAAATGAGAGTCAAAAATGTTTTTTATTGCTCAAAAATCACCTTTACAATCAAAAGCAGACTTTTCTCAATAATATGACACCCGTTTTGCAATTTTGAACAGATTTTTGGGGTAGAAATCACGATTTTCCTGTGCGGTTTGTGCCTTGCAATTCAGCGCGCTGTGCATCACTGCGTGTCGCCGCACTGTCATTGTCATTTTACCCCCAAATTTCCCTAAAAAAATCAGAACCCTGCCCTCCATTAGTCCGAGTAACTTGGACCCAACTTATTGTTAACATTCGGACATGGTCTGGCGATAGTAGGGTCCAAGCTAATGGTTATATGCCGAGCAACACAATTCTGTCACTGGCCCAAAAACCAACATTTTCCAACAAAAACATCAGATTTCACCCTCAAAACGGCCTCCAAATTACTAGATACACCACCTGAGGTACAAGTAGACATCGATGATTAAGATAGTTGTACTGAAGTTTACTTACGATCCGGATGAAAAGTGAAATTTCCCGTTCAATTCACGATACGATGTGGTCTTCATGCCCAGTGTTCATTCGATGGTCCCCGTATCCCGAGTGCAATTCCGTTACCGAGCGCGCGCGATGCATCGATTATGGTAATGATAGACTGGATCACGTTTGTAAACATAAGTACATTTGATTTTGAACGATAATAGGGAGTCGGGAACTAGCTTGAAACGGGTTTCCGCCCATAAAAGCTGCCGTAGTTCCCGACTCCCTATTATCGTTCAGTGTCGCGTTATAATTTCGGGGGCCTGTTTTGGAATCAACGAAGGATCGATGCATTGCTTCAAATATCGCGATCTTTGAACTACGTTCGGTTGGAATAACAAACAGTGCATAAATAATATCCATTGGCGTTGTTGGCTGTTTAGCCTTGCTTATATTATGGTTGAACCAACTTGAATAAAAGTTGAATCAACTTTTTCCTCGCAGGTCTCCGAGTCGCAAATTTTAAGAAGTTCAAGTTTACGTTTAATTGTTGAAGAGTCCAATACTGTACCTTAATAATGACCTTCCTCCATGATTCAGACTTTGTAATGTTATGGTAACACACAACAGTTCCATTGCAAATGACACCTTCATGTTTGATTGCATTATGATTTATTGTCAAAACTGTACAATCAGCCTTCGCCTGTGTACTACATTACTTTTTCCCACAAATGCGACTGCCTCACAAAATGCCAATTTATCAGACCAACGGGAAAATTTAGAGACAATTATACATGCCATAGTACATAATTATTATGGGCGTCAATCGTTGGGGATGGGCCAGGACCCCCACCTCAACATTTTAAAGCGGGAAATACCATATCGTTTGGTCCCCCCCCCCCCACTTTTTCTTCCCTGAATAAAAAATTTAGCCTACTACATGTACAATGATTCTATTGCTCAGAATAGCTGATTCAATGACTCCAAACTCGAAAATGATGTTTAAAAGATGATCTTTAATCCTACACTTCCGGGCTCTGCGTAAAACCGTCGATGGCAACGTGTACATGTACTGCAGCATGCTTCCAATAATGGCTGATGTTGTGAGTTCGCTGCCCGCCAGCCTATACGTATAATTCAGTGTTGCGTTATTATTTTGGGGCCCTGTTTTGGGATCAACGAAGACTTAAATGCTTTGCTTCAAATATCCCAATCTTTGAACTACGGGTACATTCGGTTGGAATAACAAAGAGGTCATAAATAATAATATCCATTGGCGGTTGTTGGCCGTTGGGTCTTGCTTTATTAATGGTTGAACCAACTTGAAAAAAAAGTTGCATCGACTTTTTCCTCGCAGGTGTCGCAAAATGATCTTTTGCTCAAAACAATCGGTTTTAGTTGTCAGAAATTGCCTCAGATCGCACCACAGAAATTGCTTTTCTATTTACTGCATGTCTTCTCAACTAAATCCCCCATTTACATTTAACTCCCCACACTTTCAACCCCAACACAAATATGCCCTACCCGATCATAGCTTGTGTATAACAGTTCTGCTTGCACTGCTGGTTTGCGGTTACCCTCAGTCTCACATGGGACATGTCTCTTATTTTATTTTGATGACATAAAAGTCCGCCCTCTGATAATACAATGGAGGTAGAAACAACGGTATTTTGTGACAATATAACGCCGACTCTCAAAATCCAATGCCGCCCAAGCTAGCCTACGGATCAGCGATTTGAAACGGTGTTGGAGTGCAGTCTCATGCCTTGCATGACATGCAGTTAAGTGGAACATTCATACAAAGGGTCCATGAAATGTACTTTACACTGGAGCATATTTCGGTAAATTTGTTTCAAATATATTTTCCGCTGGTATGTATAAAAACTATGAAACACCCTTTTTTGGTAATCCTTACCTTTAGGCCCCGTTCATAACTAAGGTTAAAAGACTCACTAAAACAGCTGACTAAATGACACTCAAAAGTGATGTTCTGATATTTCTTGACACATTTGAGCAGTTGGCAATGACACCTTCTTGAATATCAGCAGGTTTAATTTTGTGGAAAGAGGGCAGGGCTTTGATTTATGAGGGGTAAAAGACACCAGTGACAAACAGAAAATAGACTAAAAATGCAACAAGGCGAACTGCAAAAAATGGTAGGAAAGTCACATTTTCTTTGAAAGTGCTTTCAAAATGACAACTAACGTGAGTTTATCTGAAGAAACAAGACTGCTTTAGCCTGCAAAAGTCACTTCGGTACTGGACAGTCATCTGCAAAAGTAAGTTTTGACAACAGAACTCGTAAAAATAGAGGTGTCCTAAAGATAAGGATTACCCCTTAGGCCTTTTTGGTTAATTTTTTGCAAAGTGCACTTTTTAAAATGGACGCCCGCCCACAAAAAGGTCATGGGGAAAATGGGTACTCAGTTGTACAGTCTTCATTTTGTCTCAAAAGCAATACCTGGAAAACATTCTTCTGGGGGTAGGAAAAAATGGCATGAATTTGTGGATTTGGGTTATAGTTTTTAATTGAACCCTAACCGCCGTGAATCCTTCAAAATCCTCTTTGCCAAAGTGGAGGAATTTGGAGGATCGAGGTTACATGGCAAAAGTGTGTTACTGATTTCGTAGGATGCACTTTGTCAAGGTCTGGGGCCAGACCTTGTGTAGTTTTTTGCTCAGCCATGCGTAAATATAGGCCTGGATTATGCTTGAAATCCTCCGTACTGCTCCAGGATGTCACTGGCCAAGCCTCAACATATTGACAGTCACTGCCGCAGGATTTTGCAGGATTCAGGCAGTGGTCACCCCTCCAAGGACCACATTCAAGAAATAATGGAGGAATTTGCAGGATTGAGGCTGTATGCTATTTTTCCATGAGGCCAATTGGAGGATTTTGCAGCATTGAGGTTACATCCTAGCAAAAAGGCCTAGAGAATTTAAAGATCACACCCAACCACATTTGTTCTGTATCTATGACATTGACCTATTGGCCTTGCGTAGTCTGTAAGTGTTGGAAATTGTTTTTCTTGTCTGATAACTCCAAGTGGCCTTCAGCCCACACCTATTGTTGATACCAAAAAATAAACATGTTCAAGGTTCAGTGATCCTACTAGTGCATACATGTACCTGTTCAGTATAGTACAGTTTCACTGAACATGTATTGCACATATATGTACATTGTTGTACCATGGTATGAGATTGTGAAATTTCATTGGTTGCAAACTGTTCATGTGTCATACTGTAAAAGTTCGTGTATGACGACCTTATTAACTAACATGATTAACTGTGCAGAGTACGTCACCTCTGAAAATTAAATCCTTGAACATTTTATCCTCGCTGCTTTGTACAACACAGCTAGCATAGACCCTACCCTGCGCACAAGGTAGGTGATGTTACCCGGGACGTACGCGTGTCGTCGTGAATCAGCCTGCGCATGTTAACGACGCGGAGCAGCCAAGGGCGGATCCAGAACACAATTTTTGGGTCCAAAAATTTTTTTGGATTCAAGATGCTCTGTGGTGCGATCTGAGGCAATTTCTGACCACTTTAACCAATTTTTTTGAAGGAAAGATGTTGGTGTACTCATTGCCTGCCTTTATTGCGAAGTCACTAAAAAAAAAAAAAAAGTTGGATTCGTTGGGGGGGGGGGGGGGGCATGGCCCCCTTTGGCCCCCCCTGGATCCGCCCTTGGGATCAGCCTGTGCATGTTGATGACGGCATACATTTCATCAAAGGGCAAAAGTATTTGACTCTTCAGTTATTATTTATTCCCTTATTATGCACAGTACTTTTGAACTTTCCAAAATGCAGTTCCGACACTGTGGAACTGACCCAACGAATTGACAATAATATTTACAATTCATAGATTTTTAAAGTTACATAAGTCAATGAAGCAGGTGGCATCTAGAATTATTGTTCATCCACCCAAGTTTTTCATAACTTAAAAATGAAAAGACGAAACTGCATCGAACATGTCAAAATGGTGAACAAAACATACTTAATTTTATACAATTTGTATCAATAGGTACTGTATTTGTAGACATTTTTAAGTTCTGACAGAAGCTTCTTTATGTCACTTGGTGGTTCGTCGGTCTGTCTGTCTGTCTATCTGTCCCCAAAAAGTGACCAAAAGTATGGTGTTCCATATGTGCCATCGGTGTCGCATTTTTCGGTGTCGCAATTTTAAGCTCTGGCAGGGATCATTTTGATAGATTTCATGCAAGACTTCTTGCAACACAGCCAGAGCTTTTTGTGCACTCGCACTTGTTTATTACTTTCTACGAAGAATGACACAAAATTTGTTGAGCACCAACATGCGATCCCACTTTCGCACGGCAGTGTTTTTAGTTTTTACATTTTCTCTTTAGAAAACAGTCTGTGCTGTAGCTGTTTTTCTTCATGTAAAAAAATGATTTGTGTTGGTTTAGGCCATCAGCCTGGGGTTTGGTCAGTATCAAATCAGGGCATAAATGATTATAGTGCGCATGCGCAAGGTATACCGCCCCTAGAGTGGTAACAGGCATTTTGATGGCCAATTTGAAAAAAAAGGGTGATAACACCCAAAAAGCTGCCACCGCTGCAATGCTATCACATATTTTCAAACTCTGGAGGTGTATACCTTGCCAAAAATCGCTATGACGATTATTACCCTCATTTGATACCGGTGGCCAAAATTTTGGACCAAGGCTGATGGCCTAGTTTGGTTTGATTGAAACTGCAGGACAGAATGACCTGAGCATTTGACCTGTGACCTCGGGCTCTAGCAGGACTACCATTGTAGAATGGAATGGGCGGTGGTTTGGATGGCTGCCATACTCCTGTCTGGTCTGGACCAGGTGGAGGCACAAGGAAGCAATGGTGAGATATTGTATTCACTTTCACAGTCGCATTCCTTTCAATTACTAGGAATTTGATGTTACAGTGTCTCTTGTAGACCGGCAAGTACATTGTAGTCATGGTAGTTGGGGATAAGTCTAGGCAGTGTAAGTTCAGGCCATTGACATCTCTGGAAAAGTTGCACCTGCGTGAGGTTACTGCCGGATGATTCGGGGTCATGAGAATGTTACCTTTTTATTCCAGACTCCCTTGATAGTTTTGTCTCAAACCTTTGTGAATCCTCTAAAATAAAACGCTCATACAGATGCGTTATAAGCCAGTTGCACTGTGTCTGTACAGGGTGAGTAAAAAAAACCGAATTTGAAATGTCGGGACTATTGTTTTAGTGCAGTTCTGCATGTAGCGCTTTCAAAATCTACGATATGAAAGCCCAATTCATAAGCTTTCTTTTAGTGCAAGAATCATTTGAATCACTCATGTACTTTTCAAGTTATGGAATTTTAAACACAACCACCGTTTTAAAGTTCTGTCCACGGATCACAAAAAGGGAAGTGTTCTTTCAGCAAAACCAAAACAAATCACATAGGGATGTGTGTGAATGGTTTTCGTTTTGCTGAAAGAACGCTCACCTTTTTGTGATCCGTGGGCAGAACTTCAAAACAGTGGTTGTGTTTAGAATTCCGTAACTTGAAAAGTATGTGAGTGATTTGAATGATTCTTGTACTAAAAGAAAGCTGATGAATTTGGCTTTCATATCCTAGATTTTGAAAATGCGACATGCAGAACTTCACTAAAACAATAGGCCCAACATTTGGGTTTTTTTTTTTTGACTCACCCTGTAGTTGTAAAATATTTGTGGATCTTTTGTATTTCTCCTCTCAACTTTGTTTTGTTAGGGGGTATATCAGGTCTGGCCATAGGACTGATTGTTGCCGGTGCTGTGATATTCTTTGTAATCGTCATTGTCGCTGGACTTTGCTGTTTCAACTACAAACGCAAGCAGTGAGTGTTTGTGTTTTTGTGCAGTTTTAGCGCAGTAGGATTGTGAAAATGGTTTTTGATAGTAAAACCAAATAGGGTCATTTGCAATTAAAGGAATAAAGCTTTTCCTGAACTTTGTACTAACATGACTAACAATGACTTATACTCAGGGAACATACAACATTTGCTTTTGCTGTAATTTTCAGAAATGGATGGATTTGAGGGGTTAGTATTTTATAGCAAATGTTGTTACACTGACTTGTTTGAAGCCATTTTGGCCTTGTCTATACATATTTCAAGCATCAATTTGTGAGCCAAACTTTCAACAAAAGACTAGCATTGAATAAAACGCATAGGACAAGTCACTCTCAGTATATCAGGTCCCATGCTAGCTTCAGAAGTATTCACCTGACAGTCCTAGTTAACATGCATTAGAAACGTTAAAAACAATGTGTGACTTTTTTCATGTTTATTGTGGATGTATATTTTATGTACATGTACATTTCTCTCGTAACCCATTTTGTAACTGAGATCATTCTCGTTGTTCCCCCTCCCCTATTCATTCAGTCTTGGTCGTTTGGAGTTTGAGCATCCCGAGTTTGAGCGTAGCGGGGAGCCGTACTTTAGGACTACATCATTGACGCGGGATCCGGTCCCAGAACCTGTCCAATACGATGCCACGATCGATGAAACGGCAATTGACGGTCCCGCTGGCGCTGATTCAGGTATTGTCATATTAACCCTCCTCTCTGGCTGGCAAATTCAACAAAGCCAACCCAGCAGTCACAATAAATCAAGTGACTGTTTGAAACAGTTGAGTGCTCCCTTCTCACATAAAGCATGTTTGACTGTCTGTGATTGTGATGTAACTTGCTACAGCTATGTTCTGACTGTAGGAGATTGATAAGCCAGGTGTGACTACCAGCTACCTGCTTTTGTCTGTTGACTGAATTTGACTAGTCACTGTGCCTATAGAAATATGATCTGACTGTTGGTGACTAGCCTGCCTAAAAGTCACGGAAGGAGAAGTGGAATGAATTTTAGACTGTCTGTGACCAATCATACAAAAAGGAGGGTTTTAAAGGACTCTGTGTACAACTACATCCTTTTCTATCCTTCTTTGTGTAGCCCTCGCCTTTAAAACAGATGATTAAAAATTGAGGACATGGTATACAAATATTGACTACTTCATGTAGTGTGGTAAAACTAGTTGCCTGAGGCAGATTCGGTATTCTGTTTTTCCAGGGCAAAGCCCAGGGAAAATAGAATGCTCCACGGATCGCAGAGGGAGGCTAGTTTTACGACACCTCGTGTAGAGAAGTCAGTACGCCCCACCAACAGATTCTGCTTATTTTGTAGAGATGGCTGATCAATAAAACCAAAATGCAACTTTTTTTGGCTCAGATGGAGATGCTGTCTCTGCTGACGTCGTATTCTCGCCGTCAAAGTCAGAAAAGAAAGAGAAATTTGAGCAGCAGTTGGTGGAGCTGCAGCCCCACGCAGTCACCTTCCAGGAGATGCTGAAAGACGTCCAGGAGCGGATCAAGAACGCCAAGCACGGCAATCCCAGGGTGCAGGGCTACAAGTGAGTCTGGTTGACTCTCGGTTTGGGGACTGGGTAATTGGGTCTGTTGCTGGTTTAGGTCTGGTCCCAGACCTGACGATTCTGATCGTTCTGACGAGCCTAAAGCCCGGCGTGCACCTTCCCGATTTTATCGGTTTCGTGGACCACCCAATCACCGGTACTTTTTTTCACCATTGCGGTTAAACCACAACATTACCCGCGCACATGCCCGATTCTGTCCTATAATCAGTCACATGATGACCAGTCACATGATGACCAGTCACATGATGACAACCAGGTCAATAGGTATCATTGGAATGAAACATGTGAGATTCCTCCATTTTTTTTCCCTGGCTGCAAGTAGTTAAGAGAGTCACATACTCGACAAGCAAAGGTTTTTTTTTTTTACAGGTCCCCTTCAAATCCTTAAAGGCTCATTACATACTGTAGATTTTGTTTAACCCTAACTCTCCTCCATCCTCCCAAATCAACCAGACGCTTTGGAGGATTTTTGAGGATTGAGGCTGAATGTCAGTTAAGTGTCTGTTGATTTTGGAGGATGCATTGTGTCAAGGTCTGAAGCTGTGTCTCACTTTGTTTATGCTTAGCTATGCATAAATGTAGCTCTACGCTGGCGCACAGGGTCGCATAAAATGTGCATGCTCATGAGGCATTGTTGCCGAGGTTGCGGGCTCCGTTGAGTAACGGATGATACACAAACTAGTAGTCGCCCTTCCACTGAACAAGTTCAAGAAATAAGGGATGATTTTGTAGGATTGAGGTGGTACCCAATATTTACATGGGACAGTTGGAAGATTTTGAAGGATTGAGGATGCATCCTAGCAAAAGGGTTATTATATCGTCACTGGTTTCACGAAGGGACGGGCATGTGGATTTCGAAGAACAATCGTTTTCGAGATAATCGCAAGAGAAGTTTCTCCGTTTTTAAAACAGCAAAACTACTACTTTGCAACCACTTTATGCAATAAGGAAACCTTGACGTAGTTCTTTGATAGGTAAACTTTAATTTGAACCCAGTAATTATAATAAATACAGTGGTTAATTAGCCAAAATTAATTAGTAAAGATGCCTGTCCCTTCGTGAAAACGGAAATCCAACTGTTCCACATTTAAGCCCTCGTTTAATGTGCTTTTCCATAGGGAAGGGCGGGCATGTTCGATTACACGCGCGCAGCTGAGAATGTAACAAAGATGTCGGTCCCTTCGTGAAAACGAAAATCTCAATTGACCCACTTTTACCGCTTTTCCATGCAATACATTTTGTACGTGTTCACGGGGGCAGGCATGTTCACGTCTCTTCGTGAAATCGCAAAATGCAATTATCGAGATGCCTGCCCCTGGCGTCCTTAATGTTATTCAGGAATTAACGATGTTCTGCTTATGGAAACATGTCAGAATGCTTAAGTACCATGTTTTAAAGCAAATTAGTGGGAAAAAACTCGAAATCGAAAAAATTGTCAATTTTGACATGCCCGTCCCTTCGTGAAAACGGTGACGATATGGGGTGGAAATAGTAGAATGGGGAAAAAAACGGGACAGTTTTTATTCTTTTACGGATAACAGGGCTGTGTCCCGTGATCTGAGTCGAGTGCAGCATCTTCTAAGTAAGAGGAACTCTACCGCTCTCAAGATGCCCCCAGACGGGTTGGAGCTGCTAGCCTGGGCTGCAGAGACACGGCAGAAATATCTAGAGCTGCAGCGGGTAAGCGTTAAGGCATTGACATGGATGCGACGTTTTCATTTTAATAGGAATTCTGACTTGTCCAAGTTTCCTTCTAAAGAGATTGCCCCCAGAGTTTGTTGAGCTGACGCGGAATGACCATTATGAGTTTACGGTATGGTCCATATTTCCGGATCTCTATGCACTAAAACATTATACACTGGGTTGAAAATCCAAGGCAGTGACAGCAAGCCACCTAGGGATGTTTAAAAGGGAATATACAACATTTCCTTTTGCTGTAATTTTCAGAAATGGATGGATTTGGGGGGTTTGTATTTTATAGCAAATATTGTTACACTGACTTGTTTGGCGTTTTGGGTTCGTAGATGCTGGGAAAACCAAGAAAAACAATCATATTCTTGTAGTCTGGTTCCCTGGCCCCACTTCAAATGAAATGAAGCAATCTATTGTAAGGTCAGGGAATCAGTCTAGCTGGCTTGTACCCGTTCATAGGTGTGTACTCGATTGCAAAGAAAATGCGAACTAACAAAATATGGTCAATTAGTATTGAAAAAAAAACAGTTTTTTCCAATGCTTGTCGGCCAACCAGTGTTCGAAATTGATACAAAATTACCACTTTTCTTGAAAATGTCAGCACACCAGGTGCCATGATTTTACAGGACGCTTTAGACTGTCATTCACTAACAGTCCAGTAACGTATTTCGTGGTAATTTGGTAGTTTTGTTTTTTGAAGATTGCACATGTTGTATATTCCCTTTAAAGGTAGAGTAGACTTCATGTATTTGTCATTAGTGCATTTTTTTTTAAGCAACGAAAGTACTCAAAATCTAAAGACAGGTGTTCAACAACTAACCTGATGAAGCGTCAGCTCTGTAAATGCTGTATATTTCGAGAAAACTCAATATTCTGGCTCTAGATTTCCATCATGACACAATCCCGAAATCAGCAATCGGGACATGATCCTCATTCAGCCTTTTATGTCTTCGGTAAACCCGATGTTGTTTGACAAAAACATGACAGCTATTGAACAATTAACTGGTTTGGCCAAATTTCTGCTCTGACTGATGTCACAGCTTCTAAAGGTGGCTCCAATTGGGCGGCATGCGGGGTCGCATAAGATTAACATGCCCCGATATATCAGACGTTTGTTGTATGGCCCTGCACACGTGAACATGAAACCTTACTAACTTAGCAGCCAATTAGGCCTTAGGAGAATACTCAAATGCCTAGTAGTCTACTATGGAGTTGACAACTAAATTGTGATTCATGAAACCTTACTAAGAACCTTGCTAACTAGTTACACACTAGGAGAATTTAGTTGCATACATGAGTAACTGGAATTGGGTGCTTTTGGGTGGAGTAGGCATGTATGGAATGTGATGACAACAGATACAATAGTGTGACAGGTGTACTAGGCTAATCCATGTCCAGCACTTGAGTGGATTTTATTTTTAATTCAAAGATATTATTGATGCTAAGCATACGGATGCAAACACTAACAAGAAAAAGAAAGATGCATGGGCAGCTTTTCTCAGCCAACACCGTGCAAGATTTCCACAGATTGAAAGGTCATTGGATGATTTAAAAATCAGATTCTTGTGGCCATGCTGCCACGTCGGTGGTCAGTGATAAAATGATATAGTTGCTAACTAGCGACTTAGAGTTACCCTGGATCAACACTAACTTTTTTAAGAAACTTAGAATGTAACCAACGCTAGTAATGCTTCATGAATACCAATTAGTTACCAACTAGGCTTAGTAAGCAACTACAGGCCTTTTTAGTAACCAACTAGGCTTTAGTAAGGTTTCATGAATGAGGCTCCTGATCTTAAGACTAGGAAAGACCAACTACCCTTTTGAATCTAATTTTGTGCTTTACGTTCATGTTCACAGTACAAATCGGAGAGGGATCGAGGCACATCCTCAGAGCCTCCCGAGATGGCGTCAATTATGTGGATTCAGTCGAAGGACGACTCGGTGTTTGAGGACAAGTCATACGATGAGAGCGCAGTCATATGAGGAACGGTTACCACATTACCACAGCTTCTTTGGTATCAGATCAAGAAATGGTCAGTAGTGAAATTATTTCTATCATACAATTGTTTGAAGTGTCCTCTTTTTCCCCACTTGTTTTATGATTTGACATTTTATATTCGTCTTGACAGATAGTATCAGTGATGAAAAAAAAATACATGCATATCTAAAATTATGAAATGTGTACCGTACTTAATGGGAGTGTGGCACCCCTAAATGGGTGCGTTCGATTAGCTCACCATGCAGCGGCATGTTCACCTATTTTATAGGGGACAAAATCAAGACTTTGCTGTAACGACATTTGAACTGCCTTAAAACCCTGTCGAAACACTTACGATATAAACCCCCCACCCCCACCCTGCTGTCGCGTGAGGATAGAGCCTGAAAGTTTACCCCTGGTGGCGCGCATCCGGACCCCTCGAATAAGAAAATTAGCACGTAAAAGTCGGATATTTCAAAATTATTTTCGGTACTATTAATAAGATGGAATTTATGATAGGGTGATGTAAATCAATATTAGGTTTTGCCCTTCATTTTTGGTATGTTGATTTTTATTAAGAAAACACTCTCGGAAAAGGCCTTTGTAAAATGGTTACTTGCATCTCAATTTGTGGAAACTGAAAAATCGCATGATGTGAAAGAGAAATATCCGGCCAAAAATTTACCTCTCATTTATGAAATTCTGAAATACTGGTGGTCTGGTGGAAGTTTTCGGACAGACTCTGTTCTGAATAAAAATAGTTGGTGCATTGCAAATTTGAAACAATCCCTTAACCCTCCTGCTGTCTGAACAGTCACAGACAGTCAAAAAATCAATACTCTTCCCCTGCCATGCCTTTTACACAGGCTAGTCATCAACAGTCAGATCATATTGCAAGCACTGTGACTAGTTAAATTCAGTCAACCGACAAAAGCAGGCAAGTGGTTGGCACAGCTGGCTTATCAATCACCAACAGTCAAAGCATAGCTGTATCAAGTGACATAAACAGTCACAGCCAGTCGATCCTGCTTTATGTGGGCTGGGAGCTCTTAACTGTTAAAAAACAGTCATATCACCGATGTTGACTGAAAAGACAACTTTGCACAGAGTGTATGTTTGCATAGGAGGGTTAACGAATTTCATTTCACATTCCATGTGCAAGATACATTTGAATATTGCGTAATTAAGATTTTCATCATGCTAAACAGTCTGCCTTTTTTAAAACCAAATGTAAATGTATGTGTCTTTTATCTTTTTAATCGTTACATATAGATTGATGTGCATCTGTATATAAGTTTAGATAATGTATGCATAAATTAAAAGAAAATAAGTAGGAAGTGATTTTTTTTAATTTTAAAACTTGCATGCAGCTTTTTATACTTACATGCTCTAAGCATTGTACTGAAAACTTGTTGAGGCTGATCCGAAATTTTAAGCTGAAATATAAACTGCAGTTAAATTGAATAGTTACAGGTGTATTGGGTAGAATAGAATTCAGACTTGAATGTGCATGATCATTGAGCAAAATGTAGACCCAAGTTAGAGAATTGCGGTGAAATCTCTTCTTTTTTTTTCCCCCACCTGCCTTGATTGGCAACCATAGCCTTTCACTCTGTGACAAATGACACCACAAAAACCGCAATTGAAAAGTGGCGCAATTCTCCAAATAGACCCTTTCATGAAATTGGTCACTGCTCAGTCAATCGTGAATGTAATGACATGATTAGGGTGTCATTTTAAAGAGGAGATTCAACCCTAACAGAGGATATCTCCCTTTGATTCACATGCGCCCTACTTCTGTTCCAATTAGCAATAATATCTCGGTTTCGTTTTTTTTTTTATCCACCCTGTATAATAGCAGGGAACTCTTAACTGGTCAAAACAGTCACATGATTGATTTTGACAGCTGGGATTGCTTTGTTGAATTTGCCAGTCAGAGAGGGAGGGTTGTAAAATCCTTCAACAAATACATACATTAACTTGTTTGCCATAGTGCAGCATTATACGTAAGCATTTTGTATTTAAGGAATGATTATGACAAAAGGGATTTGTTTAAAACAGTTTTTTGTATGAAGAGTACTTCCAAGTTTGTGAATATCTTTAAAGTCAATCCTTTTCCGTATTTAGATTTTTAAAAGTTTTGTATCTTTTTGTATGTGACCACTGAAAATAATTTTTAAAATGAAAAAAAAAATTTATAAAAAAATAAATTTAAAAAGGAAGAATTCATTTTTACAATATTTTTTTGAAAGGAAACGTGAGGAATTTTTATATCTATTTTTACAGCTGAAATTGTCAAGGCATAGATATAGAGTATAGTGTTTTTTTGGTTGAGAGGTTAACAAATATGGTGCCTGCGGTAGCCATGTTTGGATGCAAATAAAAGCTGGTTGGTTACAGCCCTTAAGGCCCTGTCACACTGTCTGCGATCTTATATGCGCTCTCACTGCGTCCTTGAAAAATAGCGACAACTACATAGGTCGCCAGATGGGTGTCAGAGATGCTTAATGGTCTCCGATGAGCGCCAAGGTCTTTGAACATGCTCAAAACAATCGCAACACCTCTGCGCCCTGGCCAGGACGCCGTAATGACGCATCTCGGGTGCTGTGCAAGCGTGAATCGTGCAACATTGAAGTGGCATTATGGCAGCCTATAGGCGCAAGGCAGTCGATGTAGTCTCTATGAGAAAGTAACTCGACTGCGATGAACTTGTAGAATAATTTTGAAACTGGACTGTGTATTGACCGTTTTGTCGTGGTATTTATACAGCGCAAGTGACGTCACATGAGCGTATTTTGGTCGAATAGAGAGCTTGACGCGAGCTACTAGGACGTATCAACAGTGAGCAGAGCGTAGTGTGTGCGCAGTGACAGCGCAGCGGCAGCGACTAGATCGAGTAATTGAGCTTGACAAGGGCGCATAGAGAGCAAGTTGAGCGCATCGTAAGCGCGGGAAGAGCACAGTATGAGCGTAGCTTGAGCTTCTTTGATTCAGAAAGTTGTCATTTTTTTTCATAAATTTATGAAATATTTTTGGTCGCCGTAAGGTCTCCTATGAGATCGCATATAATGTGACAGGCCCTTTAGCTACATGTAGGTCATGCAGTGTATTCAATGCATGAGTGACTTGGATTTCAAAGTGGAACGCCGCTATTGTAACCACACGACTACAGTGCCTTTAGGGTAATGTTATGACGTATGAGAGTAATAATTTGGCTAGCGAGGATGTACAATGTATGTTCAGGTGTCACTAGCTATGAAATTTGGTCTTCCAACTACATGTTTATATTGTTTTTATTGTGTGAAAAGCACAAAGATTGCCAGTAAATAGCACTGTTGCAATTAGAAGCAGGATGCTCCTTTGCCATTTGAAACATGGAATATATTACTGCTTGTAGGCCATTGTTTGATGCAATGGTTTATCAGAAAGCTAAATAATGTCTCTCTTTAAAAAAATATCAATTCAGTTTAGAGATTTAAATTCTACGTGCTTGAGTATTCTTAATCAAAGCACTGCCATATTCATTTGTCACTTCTCAAAATCATGATCTTGTGATTGGTATTCTATGCTCACCATCCTGGAGCAGGAAGGAAATTTGTGGAATTCAATTTAATCCGGTGATTAGCCTTTTTGAGTTGTGCCCTCCTTTGAAGGTTTTTCACGTGATGTCACTTGACCGGCAAAGGCAGTTCAGGAAGCGTACCAAGTCCGCGTAGGCGCGCGTGTGCATTTTCGAATCTGTGTATTTCTAATGGCAACTCCGCATACGCGAGAATGTGGAGACTTCGAAGGCGCGCGCATTTCCGCGCACATCTGCGTAAATTGAACGCTGACCGTCGAAACTCACGTGACTGAAAAACCGCCATTGTGGATGTTATATCTCAAGGCTGATGGCAAACACCTACCGGTATATAATTTACAACCAAAGATTTTTAAAAAAAACAGCAACACCAAACCAACAAAATCTCCAACATTTTCTTCTTAGAGATTTTATTTAAAACCTAGTCAGAAGAACAAGTAAAAAGTACTTCTTCCTATTTCAAGTGCACGTTCTTAGCCTTAATCTTTCTCTCTACTTAAATGTAACTTCTTTATTGGCCAAGTAAAAAATAACAGTTTCTAGTCCGGGCTTTAGGCAAAAAGGGAGGAGGCTGCCCTTTTTCTTTTTTTTTCCTCGGTTTTCTTTTTTTAAGATGGCGGATTTTCAAAGATGGAGCCGTGTAACGCCTTAAAAAAGATTCTAGACTTGCATACATAGTTGAAATTTTGGTGGAAGAACATAAAAAAATAGTATAGTGCAAATGATTGATGTTTAAAAATTTAAACAAATTATAAAGGAGGCGTCCGTGAAAAAGGAAGTAGGTGGGTACAAGAACTGGTTTATATTTTACTTGGCCTTAAGCTCTGTGCTGCAAGAACGATAATTCAGGTTATCGTTTCTGCTCGCCTGTTTTACCAGCATTAACAAGTCAAATTTTGTTTAACATTTTTTGTGGAATTTAGGGGCTTGGGCCGAAAACACATTGTCTCAAGACCTAGATATGTATTTTATGCACTGTAAGCATGACTGATGGGTGTTTGGCTGTCTGCCAGTTTTGTTACAGAGGGATACTTAAGGGAAATTCCCTTTCATGTGAAAGATCAGAAGTCCCATGTTGTGGTAGCCTTGAGTACAAGGCTGTTGCCGCTCATAGCCTACCCGTACCCGACCCGCTCCACACACATATACACAGCAAAAACAAGCACGTGGTCTGCGCACGCACAAAACCCGCAGTAGTAATACTCTACGCGCTCACGCAATTCCCCTTAGTGAGAGTCCAGCACCATGCTCCGAAGGAGCTGAATTCCACATGTACACACACGCATGCTTGCACATGATGGGACAATGTGCACATGTGATGAGACTAAACTGCCAGCATTGGAAGTGCATGAATACATTGTGGGCTTCGCGTGTGTGCAATCGGATCAGATTTCGTCGTGTGTGGAGCCTAGCCTGGTAAGCTGTGGTCAGCTTCTCGGCCTAGCCTGGTCCGGTGAGCCAGTTATGGTACAGCACAGCCTTGTATTCAAGGCTAATATTTTAGTGGTGACGAACTTTCATGTTCAGTTCATATTATACATATTGACTGGCATTGAGGTCACTAGCGCATGTCTATGCACCCTGAAGGACTGTGAGGGAAATAGGACCCTCTTCTGTTCACTCACGGGCCCGAGGGGGCATAGACGTGCACTAGCGACCGAATTATGCCAGTCCATATGTGTTTCATAACTCACCTCTGTCCAAAATATAAACTAAAAAAAGAAACCATTCAGTGTTTTATTATGTTTTAGTTCAACAATTAACTCATAAGCAATTCAGCTGTAGGCAATTCAACAATTAAAGGAACGCTTTTAGTTTCCCTAGATTACATTTTTGAGTTTGAGTTTTGTCAGAGGGCGCTGTTACCCAGTCAAAAAATTTTGAGTACATGTATAGTGCCCGATCAGGCACTATACTCTGGAAATTACGCGCGCGCAATGTCTCGACCCGCGTCTAGTTCATGCTTACGCAAGTTTCATACACTAGCCTTTATTAGTGAATCACACATGACCGCGTTTCAGCCAACCAGGATAAAGAACAAGCAAGAGGTGTGTTATAAACAAATGTAATCCCTATCGACAGTACTGGCTTTAACTACCCATATTGAGACACAAAACTGGATGAAATGTTTAGTATAGTGCAAGAAAAAAGAATTAAATATAATCGTTTTTGTTTTTGTTTTTGTCTTTAAAATACATGTAAGAAACTTAACGTTTTAAGTTCTAAAGTTGAGATGGCTATTGCCGTTAAATATCCTAAAAATGTAATTTGCATAATCTTTAGTTTGTATACTTCTTACACATTTGCTTTGCTCTATATAACAAACTAAACAAAGGCAATAAACTGTTCACTTAACATTTTAACTTACAGCAAGCTATTCAATTTAATGGTGCTGAAATACATAACTGATTGTTGTTGACCTTTGACCCTTAACTGCTCCACCCCTCACTCTTCTATTTCCAAAGAGTGCAATCTCACTCTCGAAAAGTTGAGACCAGACGATTAAAGAGTGCAAAATGAAAACTCAAGGTATATCTTGAGTGGGAAAATCGATCAATTTGATTGAAGAAGAAAAGAAAAGTCAATCTTAAAAGTGCTTAATATCTTGTCCCTAGTTTTAGTAAAACAATGAATTTTTCACTCCTTGGGAATGAGAGAGTAGGCTTTTTTTACTGAAATCTTCAGGAATACATGAAATTCAAACACTGCATTGTACTTGTTAGTCTTAATGTATTGAATGAACATTGGGCATCTTGGCTATTTCCAAAGTTACTGTATAGTTGCTTCCGTAATCCTGAATTTATCCTAATACATGTACTGCAAACCACTAAAGTCCACCGCACACGAGAGCTACGTGCTGAGCAAAAAGTCATTCGAGGCCGTTTGCTCAGCACATACATGTAGCTCACAAAATATCCCCGTTTGCGGTGAATTTTTGCCGAGTTTTCTGCCTCGCAAAGCCGCGAGGCAAATATCCATCCGCTTTGATTTCTTTCGCCTTGCAAGGCGAAACACTCACTGTGTGCGGTCAACCTGAGCTACCTTCTCAGCCAAAAAGATTAACTAGCCAATGAAAGCACATTATTCTTGTTTGTAGGTCGTGTGATTTTTTTTTTTTAAATGGGGACAAACGCCAGCAGGTTTTTAGAATATTTGTACAAAAATATCTTAAAATCACGTGTACAGAGTATGTGATTTCATTGGCTAGTTAATCTTTTTAGCTCGGCACGTAGCTCGGGTCGACCGCACACGGTGAGTTTTTCGCCTCAAGAAAGACAAAAGAAATCAAACAGGGGAGACATTTGCCTCCCGGCCTTGTGAGGCAGAAAACTCAAGCAAAAATTCACCGGGCACAGGGATATTTTGTGAGCTATGTGCTGACTAAACGACCTCGAATGATTTTTGCTCAGCACGTAGCTCTCGTGTGCGCGGTGGGCTTAAGAGTCGATTTTGGAGAACGGTTGAAACCCTAACTCCCTAGGGGGTGTGCAAAATCATATTAAAATTGAAGGATTCAGGACTGTTTGGGTTAAAGTACAAAGCAAATTTACTCCATTAATTCCTGTAATGCCCAAAACTGACCGAGATTTATGGTTTCACCAAGGAATAAATACAATGTAATACAATGTAATACAATGTTATACAATGTATGTAGGTGCTTCAATAGGTGCTTCTGTATCATATCATTAGATTTTACTCTCATTGTGAATATTTTTGTCTGTGTTTTATTCAATTGCCCACTTTCGTTGCAGCTTTTTGTTGCAGTGATATTTAATGTATACATGAGAAATTGTTGCACAGCACTATAAGTAAATGTTTAGTAAAGATTAACAGTTAAGCTTCAAGTAATTTTTTTTTTAGTTATGCCAAAAAAGAGTCAAAAAGCTTTTATGCTTATTTTTTACATCATCTTAATGAATTTTTTAAGAGAAAAAAAAAAGCTTTTTATTGAAGTCAACCATTTCTGGAAGGATGGAATTTGATTAAAAATTGTGATAATGCAAAGCTAATGGGAATTGTCTTGTCCACATTTGTCTCGCTTGTGTCAATCAAAATCAGACGGTGTGTACGTGTGCATGTACACGTACATGTACCTCATCTAGCGCTTGTGATGCAATCAAGCTAAATGAGTCGTTTGTTGGGAACTTTCATTTGGAGATTCAGGCCAAATTAGGGCCACTTCATCACATCACTTCATCACATCTCTTGGTGTTCCGACTTCCATAATTTTTGAACTAAAGATGGTATCAGCATGCGGTTTTCACATTAGTAATGCCGAGATTTTGCTCTTTTTAAATCTGTAAGAAAAAGAAGAAAATTTACCAGGGCCGACAAACGACTCATTTAGCTTGATCGCATAACATTTATTGTTTAAGTACACTTGCTTACTTTGTTCAAAAGATGACTAAAGCTAATTTAAACAATAAAAACCTTGGGTGTACACTAGACTAGTGCATGCAAATCAAGCTTAGTACTTACAGGTAGAAATATGAAAATAAGCTTAAGAATCATTTATAACATATAAATACAATAATTACCTAACCAGCTAGTCACAGGTTATAATATACGGCAAAAAGACGGTTAATAGGCCCTACCGTATTTACACAAGACTTTGGAATGTGAAGGAGGTGAAATGATTTGGTTGTGTAATAATGTGAAATTTTTTTCAATTTTTTTGTTTTAATTTTTCCATTTATACAGCTGCTACTTTCACAGTATGCGTTCAAACTAGGAGTACTGCAAATGAAATATTGCATAACTTCATGTTGTCTGCCACTTTATAACAGACTTAAAAAATCTGGTTTTGTTCATTTGAATGACTGAGTGCCATCTTGACGGTGTAAAAAAAAAATTCAAAACAGCAAAATCTTTTGAACCTTGCATATCTAGCTTCCGAAAATCCTAGGTTGGATCATGCTGTTTTATTGCAAAACGACCACTATTATCTGCAGACCAAGTTGAATTTTTTTTTGGTGTTGGGGAAGGGGGTTGATGACGACTAACACACAATTTCTTGACAGTGTGCTGATGGTTTATTGGGTAGGTTGTATAGTGGAATCCGGCAACCAGAATAAGAAGCTTGAACTGTGGCGGTGTCACGCTCATGCGCATGCTGCACGCGTTCTGAAGGACGAGGCTCACACGCATTTTGGTATTCCTATTGGTCGAAGAAGCCTGGAGTGCATGCGTTCTACCTGAGCGCGACTCGCGCGAGCCTTGCGCTGCCGCTGAAAATGGCTGCTGCTGGATTTTGCTGTAGACCATTGTCATGGTGCCACCATTTCAGTCATGTATCCAATAACAGTCCTGAATGGCAATGTTTTAGTGCAAAAAGGAACCAGACTATTTTTCCTTCCAGCCTCGCTTTGGTTGTGTTGATTTGAATGAGAAAAAAAAATCAAGATGGCTGCAACATGACAATGGTCTCTGGGAGCAAGGGGAGGGGCTAATATTTATTCTGATTGATCATCAAAGGCAAGCATTTGTCTGCCTCTCTGGAAAACTGATGTCCTTCACCAGCCAAAGATCCCATGAGTGAATGTCTTCTGCTGTAGAAGTTCTGTGGGTGTGAACAATCTGACATTTAGCATTTGACTGCGTTTGACTTTGATGAAGAGGGAGACTCTGACTGTGACATGGGCAGGTTTCTCTTTGAGGCCCATAAGCCGAGGTGGAAGCTTCACCATTATTGTCTGACTACTCCCGACAGGAGGTACGATGCCTTCAGAAGTGTGCACCTTAGGACGACGGCAGTTACTTCCCGGCAGAATCGTCAGTATCACCAAACGGTAGTCCCTATGCTGATGTCTCGCATGGGCCTCAGCTGAGGGCTTGATGTGATAGCGGATTCCCCAACGCTCGCAGGTTTTGTCATAGAAAGCGACTCCGTCGACCAGCCAGTCACTTTCTTCAACTTGGTGGACGTTGTTGGCTGTGACTCCGATGACCCAAACTGATGGAACACCAAGACCGGTCTTGGTCACTTCATTGGACTTGCCTTGTCTGCTTCTCACTTTCTCATCAAGTAGAGTTAACCTTTTGTAATTTTCTTCTGGCTCCGATATGTAATACCGCATGGCAACGCAGTTTCTTGCGAAAGCGGCAAACCGCATGTGATAGGGTAGTTGTCTGAATTCTTCTTCCGAGGCAAGTAATTTCCATTCATATACCCTGTGGATCCTCTCTTGAAGGAGATGTTTGAAACTGGGATACATCTTCGGACAGCTCAGCAGTTTGCCACTAATTGTCTTGAATGACACCGGTGATATGTGAGGAAAGCGAATCAGTGAAATGACCTCCTCCGTGTACCGTCTACGCTCTTCCTTTCCTTTCACCGTCAGCCACTTGAAAGCCAACAGCAGAGCAAGTAGCTCAAAGCTTACCACCAGGTTAGGGCTTCTCAACAGCTTCAGAAACAAACTTGGACTCATGTCAAGAATGCAGGACTGCTCCAGAAACTCAAAGTTGGTTTCAAGGACGCTGAAGCAGTGCCTGTACAACTTGGTCATCCCGCACTCTTCGGCTTTGCTCAAAGTCTTAAGGGCTGCCATTTTGTCATAAGACACTTTCTCCACCAGAAATTCCTGGCAGACATCACACAGTCCTTGAACCTTGTACTTCTTGGCAAGCTCAAAGACTGGATACACATTGTTGTCGGTCAACTCCACAGTCTCTGTGTACATGAACTTCAGGAAGTCACCGAAGACTTTGGAACACTCTTCAGACTCTGCCAAGGTACATTCCTCAAACTGAACTTCACCGCTAGCTCCCTCATCAGTTATAGACCCTTCGGATGTCGTTCTTCTCTTAGAACCAACAAACATCTCCTGAAATGCATCACTCCACGTGCAAAGGACCAACTTATGTGCTCGGAAGGTGTTCCCTCTTACCTTCAGCGTGATGTCACTGAACTTGGAATTGTTGAAGTAACTTGCCAGCTGTTGGCAGAGATGAGTTGCTGGGTTGAAATCATCTTCCTGGTCCGTATCTTCAGATGAATCATCCTGTAAAGAAAATATGCACTTACATGGTTGAATAGCTTTTGACAATTGTGCCCCAAATTTGGAAATATGTAATCTGGCAGTTGATGAATATGGCTGAATTCTACCAAGGGCAGATCTAGAACACAGTTTTTTTGGTCACTAAAAAGTGAGTCAAAAAAGTTATGGCGTGAGGATCAGGACCCGCTCAAGGGCCTCGGAACAATTTTTGGATTCTAGATGCTCTGTGGTGCATTCTGAGGCTTTTTCTGACCACTTTAACCAATTTTTTTCAGGAAAAGATGGTGGTGTGCGGGAGGTGGGGGGACCATTTTTGACAGAGGATGTGCTGCAAGGTAGCTAGGAATTCTTTCCTTACACTCACCAAGCCTCTGCAAAATCTAAATGCAGAAGGAGGGGGGGGGGGGGGTGTTACACCTTCTGACTAAATATGGATAGAAAGGATTATAGCCTTGACCAAGGCTGTCTACCTCTTCCCTGAACGAGCTACCGCTACTGTACAGCTTATTAATTAGGCTGATTTGTCCAGTACCCGTTGTACTGTACTTGTGAATTGTCACTGCACACAGCACCGTCAACACTAGCCACACCGATCCCGGGATAATGGGTACTGGACAAATCAGTCTAATCTGTACTGTAGCGGCCATCACTCACTCATTCAGGGAACAAGTGGACAGCCTCGGTCAAGGCTAAATTTAAAGGGATTATAGACATGATTGGAGAAAAGGTTGCGCGATGTCGTTTGCGTCATATGCCAACAGACACACAAGTTTGCCGACAGCGGGGACAGGACAATAGTTTGGGGGAACGTCACTGTCACACCCGGCCCTACACCCCTCTAGCGATGCCTCTGCATTACGAGTGTGAGTTCCAATATTGGCAAGCTGGCCTCCTTCAGCATTGTGAAGACATCAGTCTTTACTTACATCTTCTTCGAGACGGCTGTTCCTTACGTTGTTGTAATGCAAGTACTGCAAGTACTGCATGGGCTCAAGTATCTCAGCAGCTGTGTCTCCATCTAAATCCAGCCAGTGACCATAGTGATGTTGGCGCAATAATAGAGCCCTCATCAAATGATTATCAAATAATGCCATCACAAATGAAGTGCGCAATGTCACACTGCAGTTTCTTGGGGGAAAAAAGCAAAATAATACTATTAGTGAGGGAGACTTTATAAGGAGTCTGTTGAATGTCCCCGATGTGGGGGGGGGGGGGGGGGGGGAGTGTGTGGGAGAAAGGTGGGGGCAGGGTGGGGGCAGGGGGAATGGGAACTGCAGCTGTGGACCAAAATATGAAGAGCTTGCAACGTGGTCCAAAAATGTTGAGAACACAAAGCTTCCCATATCATAGTGGTGCCGTCACTTGGTGGGAGAGGGGATCAGCACGTGCCCTCCCCCCCCCCCCAAAAAAAAAATTGGTGAAAATGCATATCCCTCTCCAGAAAAATGCAGGTCGAATGCAACCACCTCCTCCCTCTATGGCTGCTCTGCGTAGGGGAGCAACCATAGTTCTAGGGGAGGGGTACTTCCCCTTCCCCCCCCCCCCCCATCCCCCCTTCTTAACGGATTCCCATATCTGGCATATCACTTTTCACCCTGTGCACAAACCCTATGGGACTGGTCTGAAAATTTCTAAGTGTTTTCTCAGTAAAACTTCAAAATTTGGACTTTTGAGGACATATTATCACTTTCTGATGGCTGATAGTGATAGATCATCTAAGGAAAAATTAGACTCACTGGACATGCTGGATATGTGTACTCTGTACATGAAATTGACCCAATGTATTTCAAAACAATAAGACAATTCTTTAAAATATGGGATGGGACCATGAGTCATAGGGTCCTTATACAAACTTTAGAATAATCTCTGAGCGTACTGATATTATCAGTAACACTAAACAGGATTATTTGAAATTTGATGCAGCATCCATGTGGAATTATCATGACAGCAAGAAACCATTGAAATTTTCCACTTACCTTACAATTAAACGATATGCTTAACAGTAACTTCTAGCAATCGTCAGATCATTTGTGTGGACCAAAATGGCATTTTCCATGGGTTTCCATCAAGACAGTATGCTGCTATACTTGCTAGGTGGGGTTTACATCCAATGCAGATGACACACAGGGATTTCTCATCACTAGCCACACAAAAAGGGAATTTCCCCCATGAGTAAAGACCAAAAACATTCCTGTAGCAGTGTATTGCTCCATTGTGTAACCTCTTTGCTCCCACGCAATTGATTGTGTATGTCATGTAAAAGTCCATGTGATTGAATGCAGTGTTATTTAAGTTCACATTTTTAACTTTAAGGTAAGTTAAGGGTAAAAATCCTACAAAGAAATTGGTGTTTTGTGTTGACTTAATCATAGAATGAGTAAATACTGAGCACCTGATATGACAGCTATGTGATCGCTTCTTTAAAGAATAATTAACCCGAATATTCTCAAGTACGGTAGTTCAAAATAAGACGTGGCATGCCTAGTAACCCATACAATTTGAACTTATGAGATCTTATAAGATTAATATTTTAAGATTCTTATAAGTTTCTTACAGGCAACATTAGAATTCTATAAGAATATTTTCAAGTCAGAATGCAGCCTGATAAATTCTTATTAATAGTCTGAATTTCTGAGAATTCTTAAGTTTAGTCTGATTTTTTTTTTTGGGGGGGGGTTGTATATACTATAAGAAAGTTTATTTTCAGGAGTATTGTGTTACACTTGCGGCATGGGCCACAAGTCACATGACCCAGTGACCTTGCATACCACACAGTCAATGCACATGAGTCAGTGTGGGAAATTTGAAAACTACAGTCAGTGCAGTCTATGCATTGCAAGTAAGAGGACAAAAATTGTATCAAACTCATTAATGGATATTTGCATGTTTACATCGATGCCTGTGGACATAATTCACTGCTCATGCATATCTGACAATGACATGCAAAATATGTACTGGACCATTGGCTGATGGGAAGTCTTTGGAATGAACAAGAATGGACTCTAATTAGCAACTAGAACTGCTCAAGCTGTTTGTAGAAGTGGACGTGAGTAGAGGTAAGTCTTGAATGATATTATAAGTACTCAATCATGGACTTTGCTTCGGGTCATGCAGACGCTTGTAATTGTTTATGGCAATCATGCTACTATTTCTTCAAAGTTGCACACCCCTGTTCTTCCAAAAAAAGAAGTTCTCTGATTTCTGAACAACTTGCCAACAAATAATTTGTTCTCATTGCAATCTCAGTGAACGTGGTGAATGAAAACATTTGCTAATGTTACATTTTGAGACTCAAAAACCATGGTCAGTCTGCATGCACAATTGATGCACAAGGTTGCATAATTGTAGCTGCTGAATGTCTATTGTTCGTTATTGACAGATTTTGGCTTAGATGGCTAAAAGCAAAACCGAACACAATTTTGCAACTGTACACAATTAAGAAAGCAGCAAAAAGGTTTTAAATTTTCTAACATTTTGGCTAGAGCATGGGTAAATCAGGACAAGTTCTTCATCTTATTCGCTCGTGCAAACAGGATCGAAGCTGGGAACGGCTGATCTCCAAGTCTTTGAGTTCTCATTGGATAGATTTTGCGTGACCTGTGAGGTAGAATGACACAGGTGACCAAACTCGCTAAATACATAGCGCGCTAGCTGCATGGGAATGTACTGTAACTTATAAGTTACCCAGAAAGCCATCCAAACTTAAAAACAAGATACAGTGTATTGTGAAGCAGATGAGCCCTTCCCAGCGCCCTATTTCAAGGCGTGGGGTACGAGCGAAGTTCTTCATCATGTTCATACAGAATTTGTATAAATTAGGATGAGTTCAGTTCTTGCTGTTTATGCCATTCACCTTGTTTATATTGATTGTATGCATTGTGCTTTAGGCTGTCATTCACCAACAGTCAGGTATTTCATAATAATTTGGTAGTTTTGTTTTTTGCTGTTTGCAAATGTTGTAATATTCCCTTTAACATCCATTCTCGGACAATTATGTGTGCCAAAAGGGCCATTACATCTATAACAATTTGCAATTCCACTTGGTGTGATGTTTACCTGTTTGCCAATATTACACAGATGAATTTCTCACCAGCCACATAGAAGGGAATTTCCCTTGGATAAAAGTATACAATGTTGACCCAAACTGGATTACATTTGACTCTATTCAAGCGGGACGACATGGCCTGCTTCTACAGAATTCACGTACAATGATGCTTTCCGAATATGGACTGTTGTTCCCTTCATATTCCATACTGGCATGACCTCTAAGCATAACTCTATACCTATAGCCTATCCGCATGGGCCTATGCAATACATGATGTACTTGTTTGGACTTTTTTCCATGTTTGTGGGTGTGTGTACATACATACATGTGTGTAGAGAAATTCACTGAACTTCCAACTTTTTTGGGGGGGGGGGGGTCAGTTTGGTCCTTTTTGGGGGGACAAAAAAAACATGGTTTGTGATATGTTAAAGCAGACTCCTTTATTTACAAACTACAAATGTGATATAATCTTTACTCAAGCCAAGTTTACAGTGTCATGGCTGTTGTGGCATACATGTACGTCTCAAAAAAGAAAAGAGAACTGGTATAGGTTCCCTGAACTACGGTCCTGAAAAAGAAAACACAAAACCCCCGTGTAGGCATAGATTTACTGTTTACGCGTGGGGACTACGGATTTATTTCAGGGAAACTTTCCGCAAACTCCAGTAAGAAACTTCATCAGTCTTTGAATATTCACACCAAGACAGTGTCTTATACAAACAAATTTAATTTCATTCTTTATGGATGGAAATTACCACCAAAGGACAATACATGGAGATTTAATGATACTGTTATGTTTCGAAAAGACATTATTTAAAACATTAAAAAGTGACTAAAATGTAATGTATACAGGGTGGTTAAAAAAAAAAGGACACACACATTGGACAGCAATTTTCACCAATTTTTAAAAATTATTTTTAACTGTCGATTAGTAGCTATATTAAAGTACTGGCCTTTAAAGCTAGAGTCCATCATTTGCAGCCATCCGAAAAGTAACTGGCGTAATTATTGTTGAAAAACAAACTTGGTTGAAAGATAGTAAGTGCACTAAACTCTCTGTGAAATTATTCTTTCTGGGAAGCTGTCATTTTGAAGTAATCGACGAAAGAAGGCATTTCCAACGGTGATTCTTAAGAAGCACCGTAGGAAAATTTAAATTAGTAGTTCGTTTTGTTATTCAGCGCAGCGCGCACAAGTATTGGAACGACGCACACGCGCGCGCGGTTGTTATAATTCGTCGGATCAGTGCGCGACGTCGCGTATAGCTGCAATTCAAAACAATTCAAAACATGATTCAGTAACTTTTGATTTAAAATTGAGATCCTAGAATGCTGTTTTTTCTCGGAATGTACAGCTGAAGCTTAGCTGAAAGTTCATCAGGTTAGTTGCTCAGTATCCTTCATTAGATTTTGAACTCTTTTGTTGCTTCAAACAAACAAAATGCACAAATTACAAATGATGGACTGTAGCTTTAAGCAAATGCCAATTTGAACATTTCATGTGCGAAACCTGTTTGTCCACGGAGGTATACATGTACTGTCAACACAACATGCACCAATGCATGCTTGAACATTATCATTTGAAAAAATATGCGTTAACAATGAAGTCCATTGTGAGCCTATATGTGAGCCTATATGTTATGCAACGATGAACTTAAGCCGACAGCTCATTGAGTAGATGATCTTAACACCGACATGAATAATTGGACAGCTTCAATAAAAGTTACCAGGGCAAAATATATTTTCGTGGGAAGGTTTTTTTAAATTTTTATGAACTACGAAAACGTCCAATTTACATTGAATACCCCGTGGACAAGACTGATTTTGGTGACTTGTATTCAAATTAGCATATCACTATTTTTGCGACTTTTACTAAGCCTTTTTCACCATGCATGGTTAAAGGCCTATACTTTACTACTATGTGAAAAAAATATTTAAAATAAGTTCATTAAGCAGGTGAAAATTGCAGTCTAAAGTGGGTGTCCTTTTTTTTTAACGACCCTGTACAGTGTACAATGTAAACAAAATTGTAAAAAATCCTTATTGTAAAAAATCTTCACAAAAAAAACAAACTGCAGCCTGTTCTATAATTCTTACACCTAATAATTCATCAAACTAGCTGCAGAATTATTATAATGCACCCAGTCAGTTTATTGGAAAATTTATTAAAATAATGACATATCCACAGCATCATATTGCAGCATTTTGCTAACGTTGCTAGCATGGTGACTTTGGGTGTGATTGTAATCCCAGGCTTCGTGTCAGATGCCAGTTGATGGCTTCTGACTTTAATACGCCCCTTAAACAAAGACATTGACAAAATGGAGAACCACCAACATGGGGTTGGACAGCTTAGTTGGTAGAGTACCGGAACGGTTATCTAGAGGTCGCAGGTTCAAACCCCGCTCCAGTCAATTTCTTTGTTCAACCGGGAAAAAAATTATTTTATAAATGCACCGAGTCAGTTTCCCTTTGTGATTTATTTGATAAAAAGCTGATGAAAATTGAAGGAATAAATCTTACCAATAAATTATTAAGCATAAAAAGCCATACAAGTGTATTACACGTATCTCACCGGGAAAAAATTGCACATTTATAATGAAACATTTTGTAAATATAATGAACGTTCAAGGCATGCAGGAACTTTTGCAATTACAAAGTACCCAAAAACGTACCTACCAATTTAGTGAGAAACAACAAATACCCTGTGAAAGTAATCTGAAATTAGTCTGCCTGAAATGGCATCCTTTAAAAGAAATCAATCATTTCTAAAAAGATGTTCCATTTTCACATGTGCACACCTTCTTTAAAACTCGCCAAAAAAAATTTGATCTAGCACAACTAATATACATTGTAGTTCTTATTGCTTAAAACTAACAGAACATGTAGTAACACTAACTTTACAATAAAATGGTGCAGTGCTACTCTATCAAACTGTGTCACACAAAAAAAAGAAGTTAAAACAGAACACATATTACAGTGCATACACAAGATAAATGAATGTCAATGAAATTTCCTAGCAGTGTTGAAGTCGAATCCATGACAAGTCCTTTTACAAGTCTAATCGCATGTGCATGTAACAGTGGATGAACAATGACTAAGAAGTGCCTCTGAAACTTTCATTTGAATAGCTTGTGACTTGTGCAGGACTTTGTAAGGATACTACAGACTTGACTACAACACAGCTGTCCAGACAGTTTGGTTTTTGAGGTACAGTATTTAACTCTAACTCCCTAGGCTTTTTTGCTAGGATGCAACCTCAATCCTGCAAAGTCCTCCAACTGCCTCCATGTAAAACTTGCATACAACCTCCATCCTCCAAAATCATCAATTATTTCTTGGATGTGGTCCTTGGAGGGGTGACCACTGCCTCAATCCTGCAAAATCCTCCAGCAATCACTGCCAATATGTTGAGGCAGGGCCAGTGACATCCTGGAGCAGTGCGCAATAAAGAAAAGCCATACCCGAGCTGTAAATGTAAAACTGAAGGAAAATTGCACCTATCTGTCACAACTTTTATCACGACCTGAGACTTGAATGCCAACTTTGACCCACAATCTGTTCGGGTTTGAATTGCAGCGCAGGGTCGTGGCGGGCACGTAGATGGCAATCTGCTTGCCTATATCCCCAGTGTCCACACACGTGAAGGGCGCATTAAACGACTGCACTTTCGGGTCAGACTTGCTGGACACAATGGCCACTTGGTACGACCTCCCAATGTCCTCAAAATTTGGTTTGAGCATGAAGCGAACACTCCACTCCTCCCCCGATGATTCCTTGACGGCCAGGCCACCGATCTCCCATGTCTCCTTGCTGACCAGGTAGATGTTCTTGTTTTCACTCTGGCGAGCCACTGGACACGACAATTTGCAACGATCAAATTCTGCCTTGCTGTCCTCCACACACAGCTCTAGCTGTCTGAAGGTAGACCCGTCGTCGATGCGCCACTCGGTGTTGGTTATACGCACGCAGAATGCCGGCTCCAGGTACATGCGAGGATTTGAGAATTCCTTGCACATGTCTTCGTAGGCCTCCTCTCCAGCAAGTGCCCTTGCCTTCAGCGCCTGGATGACATACTCCTTGACCTTGGGTTCAAGAGTTGCAGAGCAGCCATCGAGCAAGTGGGCTAAAACGGATGCCGGGATGTGCTCAAAACGGACCAAGGACAGCAACTGGTCGGTGTACTCCTCCCGCTCTACTTTGCAGCTCTCCGTACGCAGCCAACGCCTGATGGCACCGAAGACGAAGAGCTCGTTAGGAACAACAAGGTTGGAGCTCTGCAGCACCTTCTCGAGAAGCTCCGCGTCAAACCAGTACAAGGTGGGCACTGCGTCGTCATCAGTGGTCCACATGTGGAAGTGGTTTTCCAGCAGGCTGAAGCTCTTCTGCTCGACCCTGCTCAGGTCCTCTGCCAACTTCAACGATTTCATGGCATCCACAAAGGGCGCGGTAGAGGTCTCCAGTAAAGCCAACAGATACTTCTCGCACACGTCCTTCAGGTCACGCACCATATACTTATCAGCCAGAATCAAGATGCAAAAGACGCTGTCCTCATCCAGATTCACCTCCTCAGTGTAGAAGAACCGCAGGAAATCCTCAAAATACTCCTCGCAGGCTTCATGCTCATTCAGTGTGTGCACCTGGGGCTCATCATTAGGGGTGCTCGACGACCATCTGTCGTTCATCTGGGCCCGGAACACTTCACTCCATGCACAGAGGATGAGCTTGTGGGCGTGGAAGAGGTACGGGCCCACCTTTAGGGTGACGTCACTCAAGCGAGTGTTGTTGAAGAGAGCCGAGACACAATCGTTGAGAAACAGGGGCGTCATTTTCTGTTGTATTTTCCGCTTCCGAAGCTCAGTCATCTTTTTGCCATCAGCCTGCAGGTCAAGCAAATGTAACAATGATCGTTACGATTTCATTTGTGTAATTTCATTGAATGACAACTGTTCATTTTTTTTTTTTTTTAGGTTCACTGTTATGGCATAAAACTGGCTAAGAAAGGGATGCTTCTTATTTTGCGATTACCACTAGGCACGCCATAACTTGCGACGTGTTTCGAGCCATTGTCAAGGACCTTACGACGCAAGTGCGACGTGTTACACGTTGTAACTCAGGTTGCGACACGTCGCAGCCCTTCGTGAAATCAGGTGATGGAGTACATGTGGGTGGTATCAAATTGGCCCAAGAACCACGCATAAACTCCAGAAGTACTGGACTTCCGAATTAAAATATGCAGAGCTGACCAACTGTTCAACAATCCTGCCATTCCCCAATCAACATTGTCATTCTTTCCTTGTAAAACATGAAATAGTTTAATAACAAAAACAAACTGCACTCTCAACTTCATTTGGCCTTGCCTTCTCCTGTGAGCTTACCACTCTTTTCTTCACGGCTAACAACTCGGCAAATCTTGTCTTGTTCTGTGTTCTGTTGGTGGTTGCCCCTCTCTGCATCAACTCACGCAACTGCTCTTCTTCTAGTGGTTCGTCATCGTCTGAATGATCGGCGACTTCATCGCCATTGCCTGTATCAGTTGGGGTGAGGGGTTGGGGGGGGGGAAGCATTGCGATTTAATGGGTGGATGATTACTGGGATGACCCCAAACCTTCACAGATCCTTCAAAAGTGGTTTTGAGGATTTTTTTTTGATGATGGTGAAGGCAAAGCAATGCCTCTATAACTTTACATGCCTTTGGAAGATTAACTCTAACCTTCCCAAATCTTCCACAATACTCTTTGCAAAATGGAGGATTTTGTAAGATTGAGGCTAAATGGAAAAAAATGAGTGGCTGATTTTGGAGGATGCACTGTGTCAAGGTCTTGGGCCGGACCTTGTGTTGTTTATGCTCAGCCGTGCCTAAATTTGGGCCTAGATTATACTTGAAATCCTCCGCACTGCTCCAGGAAGTCACTGGCTCTGCCTCAACATATTGACAGTGATTGCTGGAGGCTTTTGCAGGATTGAGGCAGTGGCCACCCCTCCAAGGACCACATTCAAGAAAACTTACCCTGTACCATCCGTCTGCGCAGTCTCCGCATGACACGTATCATTGCTGGTTGGTTAAGAGGAGGCTGTTGTTGATTGGCGGGATTCATCTTGATTGGACTGCACGACACACGCTGATGCAATGACGATACTACAGGTTTATCTGTGGTGTGAGAATGATACAAACTTAAAATTACTGGCTACGGGATGCCTTTGAAAAATTCGGGGAAAGGGGGGGGGGGTGTTGACACAAGGGAAACAAAGGAACTTGGCAAAATGGGAGGAACGGGGGAACAGGGGTGGGGCATGGGGAATTGGGGGCTGGGGCCTGCCCTTTCTGTCTTTCGAGTTGGGGTTTGAAATTATTGCCATGCATGTGAATATTGGTAATTTATAGACTAATTCCCGCTTGTTCGCGACCGTGACCAGAAACATGTTTCGGCTTTGGTCATTGGTTGAGCATTTTCGAGATTTCAGTTGGCATGGAGTGACGTCAAAATAAATGCAATGTACAGAACATTTAACAAACAATGTTGGGAAAAACAAGCTTGTATTTGTAACTTGTAAGGCCCATCCCAAAAAAAAATCAAAGAAATTTTCTCGCATGAACTTTTTACTAAATGCAAAATGTAGATTTTTTTCTTACGGCACCATGGTTTAGATATTTTGTAGGATGCTCCAACTTTTTGTGCCAACAAAAGTTTCCATCTTCTTTTGATTCATAGATGAAAAATTGCAAAATGCGAATTCAGTTATCACGTTCCCCATATATACTTGTGTGTATTCATCTGCTTTATCTCTCAAAACTGGTCGGCAAGCAGATATATTGCGCATGCCTGATTAGAATTGTGAATGGGCTTATTTATTTTTTACAGTTGAACTTGAAGTTGAACATGATCATGTTGAAGAACACCAAAATAAAATCCCAACATGAGTATTTCTTGGGCATGTTGGGCCTCGGTTACGGTTGGAAATCATTCTGCCAAAATCAGGAGTAATTGCAGAAGAGGGTAAACCGGCGATCGTGTAGTGTAGGGCCCGGTTCCTATAACAGGCATGCAACTTTTCCTTGGATCAGCTGATTTCCTCTTTTTTCACTTCCAATGTGTGCCATTGAAAATAGAAAAACACTGTATATGTACAAAGTCTTGGAAAGATTTGAATTTCCTCTTTTTTTGTGACTTCCCAGTTGCATGCCTGCAATAACTTAGCCCCATAAATGTGGCCTAGTTACTGGACTGCCTCCGTAAACATAGGCCACACATCCACATGTACAAAAATCGTGTCGACTTTGCCAAATTTTGATTTTCACATTTAGGCTTAGTTTGTAGGATTTTTTTGCTTTAGAAGCATACTCACCCTCTTTATAGGCTAATCAGAAAGTGCTGCCTTTTTCAGATGTCAAATTTTTGTGAAATTTCATGTTGAAATTTTGATACGCAAACGTGTAAAAATGAATCTGGAAATTTCACGAAAATTAGACATCTGAAAAAGGCAGCACTTTCTGATTAGCCTATAAAGAGGGTGAGTGTGCTTCTAAAGCAAAAAAACCCTACAAACTAAGCCTAAATGTGAAAATCAAAATTTGGCAAAGTCGACACGATTTTTGTACATGTGGATGTGTGGCCTATGTTTACGGAGGCAGTCCAGTAAATAGGCCACATTTATGGGGCTAGCAATAACTATAAGGGAACAAAATCCACTTTGAAATTATTAGACCGACCAAAGTAGTTGGCGACATTCTCAATAAACAGGTATGTCATAGATAGAGGGCAGCTAGGGTTTTGATTTTTTGAGGGAAGTTTGGGGGTAAAATGACGATGACAGCGCGGCGACAACACGCAACCCGAAAGATGGCGATCACCGCGCGATGTACCGTAAGCATGCACGGCGCGCTGAATCGCAAGACACAAACCGCGCAGGAAAATCGTGATTTCTACCCCAAGTAACTGCAAAATTGAAAATTGCAAATCGGGTGTCATTAGAATTGAGAAAATTGAGATTTTGATTGTAAATGTGATTTTTGAGCAATAAAATTAAAGAACATTTTTGACTCTAATTTGATCAAAACAAAACAGGGGCCCTACACTTCACGATCGCTGGTAAACCTGATCAACCCAATGTATAAAAATGGCAAAGGCGGGTCGGAAATTTGGCGGGTCGCGCAAGGAAACTCGCCGCGGCCGCCCGGCCCAATTACTGTTTTTGCGCGCCACACGCACGAATGCGGCTGTCGGCCTTGTTCATTTTTTTTTAGATTCTAAACTCCGTTATTTTACCTTACCTTGAAACAACTATGTCTTGCAAGTTGGCTAAATCATTCGTTCAGAAAACAAAGATCGATCGATCGGATACTCTATACATTTATAGAGGCCAAAAAATGGTGCTTTCTCCTTGGTTTTCCCCAAGCGAAACGTGCAGTAAACGCCAGATCGGATCGTACGGCGGGAAATACACATGGTACTCAGACGCATCAGTGTGTTTTAAATGGTAGACGTTGGTACAGAGAGGGGCCCGACTAAAACAAATAACTGGCGATCGATTATAGAAAGTGCGTTACGTAATACGCGTGACAAGGGCCGGTAAGGGCCCGATACCCCATAAAAAAATTGCCGTGTTAAAAAAAACAACGTTTGTATGTGTTATTTGGAGCACATCAAAAGGAGTCCGTGGGCATGTTTTCATTTTGAGCAAATATTGAATTTTATTTAACAGTCTTCAATTGAACAAAAATAATGTCTCATGTGGTGCCCCTTTCAAAAAGAAATGTGCACCCTACATTTACTCTAATTTGCACAAGTTCAAACTACAAAACCTTAACAATGTACGTGTGGGGGGGGGGTCCCTTACTATTTTGTAACAAGTGCCCCTCGACTCCCCATGGAAATGCAAGTAGTGATACTTAAGGATAGAGTACATTATTTGCAGCTATCCAAAAAGTAATTTAAGTAGAAATTATTGTTGAAAAAAGCTCTTACTTCATGTACATGTACAGTCGATTCTTGTTAGTACAAACTCTGTATACAAAATTCTGGTTATAATAACAAACATACAGCCTTAGTCCTGACTGTGCATTTATATGCACAATGAATGGGACTGATGTTCCTCTTAAAACAAAATTCTGATATAACAAACAATTTGGCTTGGTCTGAACGAAATTGTTATAACGAGACTCGACTGTACTTCGTTTAAAGATGGAAATGGCAATAAACACCCTGTGAAATTATTCTTTCTGGAATGCTGTCATTTTGAAGAAAACAATGAAATAAGGTAATTTCCAGTGTGTGAAGCCACGCATTTTTGGAAATTTACGTTAGTAGTTGGTTTGTAATTCAGCGAATCCGTGAATGGGTGGTGCATGCACAGAAGCGTTGACATGACACGCACGCACGGTTGCTATTATTCATTGGTATTCGTAACATGGAATAGCTGCAATGATGAGAACGTGTCCTGGATGCTGATTTTGGGCGCAATTCAAAACACGACTCTTCAATTCAAATCAAGATCCTAGAATTTTATTTTCTCGGGGTGTATTATAGCATTCACTGAGCTTTTTTCATCAGGTTAGTTGTTAAGCAATCCATCTTTAGATTTTAAGCACTTTTCTTGCTTCAAATTAAAAAAATTGCACAAAATGACAAATGATCTACCCTACTTTTTATGGACTACATGTACTGTAAATAGAAAGCTTTTGGAAAAAAATACATGCACAAGCATGAAGACACAACATCATTAAAACTGGGTACATCTGAATTAAAATTGTCAAGGAGACGCTCAACTTAATTTACAACAAAGCATTTACCTAATCCTAACACACACAAAAAACCTCTGCTATTCTTTCCTGGTAAAAAAAAATAGCAATAACAATTTCTGAACAAAAGAACCGAAAATCTGTGAAAAACAATGTCGTCTATTAATACCAATAGACGTAAGACCTATTGACGTACTGACTTTGTTTACATAAGCGGTTTCCTATGGGAGCGAAGTCGGGACGCCAGACAAGGTAGGGACGGTCTACCACATAGGAAAGCGCACATGTAAACAAAGCACAATGTAGTTAGGACTTTGGCCTACTGGCCTTTTCATTATTTTGCAAACCCATTGTGTAACACTTAAAGGAAAGTGTACATGATGTAGAAAAACAAAGAAAGTGGGAAAGTGGAGGTTGTATATTTGGGCCTACTTAACCCCAAGCATTTTGACAAGAACCCTTCCCTTATCCAGCCAAATTCAACACATTGCACAAAAACAAGTAGTACATTCCATTATGATGCAACTTTCTTTTGTACTTCATATTGGACACTGATCAGATTCAAACTTTCGTCTAGATTTTTCCAAACTTACCAAGATTTTCACTATTCCACGTCTATTGTGAGTCATCACAGTGTATCAGAGTTTTCTGGTCGAGAAAATCTAGACCAAAAATAATACATGTAGTAGAAATCTTAAATCTAGAATGAATGGATGGTTGTGTTATTAATTGATAAACACAACCTCACGAGAATATATGTAGTCCGGTTTTTCTTCCAGGATGTAGGGCCCAATTAGGACGATGCCATCAGCCGTGGCGCGCTTAGTACCCTTTTCGACAGTTCCACTGTGGGTGATAATGATGGGATTCGTTGTGTCTTCCTTGGACTTGATGTACAAGACAATGCGGTATTCCTTGCCAATGTGATCCCATTTGGGAGTTAACAGGACCTGCACGCGCCACAACTTCCCCACGTTTTCTTGTCTGCTCATGATGTTAACCTCCCACGTTTCGTCCGCGGCGTTGCGGTGCACGTTCCTGTTCTGTGGATTGCTGCGCCACACTTGAGCCCGACGATCCGAGTAGTTGCTCAGGGTGTGGTTGACCCGGGCCCGCGTGAAGATATCCTTCTTGGCCTCCTTGATGCTGGACAGCCTCCCACCGGGAGGCACGAACTTCAAGTACAGGCGCGGCGGGACGAACTGAATCTCGGACACCTCTGAGAAGTCCACCTCTTCTGAGGCCAGAGCCCTGACTTGGAGGGCCTCGGTGACGATCTCGGGACGCTTCTGGGAAATCTGCTGGCCGAGTCTGGACTTGCTGAACTGCTGGAGCTGCCAGATGGTCATGTTGGAGAAGCGAATGTGAGGCAGGATCACCTCTAGAGTGGCCCACAGATTCTCAACGGTGACCTGCTTCGATTTGATCCAGGCTTCAATCTGAAAGACATGATAAGAAAACAAGCCGTGAGACACTACAGCATTTTCTGATCTATATTCCAACAATTTATCCCCCTTTTTGAATCGGGGAAACCTTGAGGAGTAGAGAGGACAACACAGATACACTTGTCAGTTTTCTCTGAAACTTCATCGGAATCATTAGATATTCTTTGGCTGTTAATTCCAAAGATTAGATAACTAGAAACTTTCGAGTGTAAATGTGCACAATGCTAAATGCGATCACTTTCAGTGAAACAAAAGTTTCATACCTTCAGAAACAGACAATACTCATCCTCTATGACAACGTCAGAGCTCTCGATGATAGAGACCAGCTGGTCCAACCGCAACGCCTGCCAGGCGACGTCGGGGATGTACTGGACGTAGGACCGCAGGACTTTGAGGCAACTCTCCTTCAGGAACCCCAGGTCCTTGGCTTCAGCTTCCCCGAGCCACTCCAGGGCACTGTCGATGTTGTGCTGGCCGATATCTTTGCCAATGAACCGCTCGCACATCTCCTGCAGTGGCTTGATCTTGTAGCCCTGAGCAAGACTCAGGACCACCTTGACCGTTCCCTGGGTGGGTTCTGCCTTGCCGGAGTACAGGAACTTCAGGAACTGCTGGAAGGCAGCATCAGCGTCCTCCGCACTGCCGCTGTTGCTTCCCGATGTCGGAGCAAAGCCATCCTCGTCGAGGTCTAATAAAAAGGGTTGGCCTGGCTCGCCCCCAGCAGTGCCCATCCGTGGAGCCTTAGCGAGCTTGTCCTCAAAGATCCCACTCCACGCCCCTAAGATTAGCCTGTGGGATCTGTACTGCTTCCCAGCAAAACGAAGCACGACGTCGGAGAGTTCCGGCTGGTTCATGAACTTCTGAATATGGTGGCTGAGTGCTCCCAGCTTCCTGCATGATTTTTGACTGGGTTCACAGTCTTCATCATCACTCTAAAAGTAAAAAAAAAATGCAAACATAAAATACCTTTTTAGTAGTAAAACATGTCAGTACCTAGCTCTAGTGACTGGAGCACTAGAACTGCGTCGCCCTTCGAACCAATTTAAAGATTGTAAGCTTAACTCTGCGGCCTTTTTCGTTTGACTCACTTTTGGCGCCTTGATGATGACCTCCTGGTGCCACTCCATTTCGGTTCCAGAACTCATTGTAACTCTGCCAGGAAAATTAAAAAGAAAATAATTCACTCTCTCACAATGGGACAACACAATCTCGACAAAGTCGTTGTACGTTTCGCGTTGAAAACAAACAACTTTTAAAATAATTTTAACTTTAATTTATATGCTGAAGGTGTTCTTTGTTGCTATTTCTACCATATAAAGCTGTTTTTGAAATTCCAAAACTTAAACAAAATTTTTGACGCTGGGTTGACGCCAGTCGACGCTAATTGTTGCCGCATTTTAGTAGGAGTAGACCGCCACAAAGAGTGCCCGTTGATGTTTGGGCATTTACGTCAGTCGCGTTGCGGGTAAAAAGCCGCATAATTTATGGCAGGACCATGCGCGGGACCCAACTAAGCGCGGTTCATGGCTGTGGCGACGCGGTGTGCACAACACGGCGGGCGGCCGCACGTCGCACATCGCTACACCGGCGACGCGGGTCACGTGCAAGGAGTAGGGCCTACTCCAGTAGGCCTTATTTACCACTTTTACAATAATCTGACGACTAGATCTTGACTGCAATATGGTTGGCCTTAAAGTACGCAGTAAGAAACTAGATTTCCTACTGTTATGTATTTACTTACAATCGTAAATTTCAACAAACAAAACAACATCAACACGCATTTTCGGCAAGAGCGAAGCGGGGAATTTTTTGAGCACGCAATTATTGTATTAAACAGCGCCACCAATCGACATATGACAGCTAGGTTAAAGTATGGAAAGCCATAAAATACAAGTGCAATGTAAGTATTTGCAGGAAATGGGAGGGCGAATCGGCCAGGATCCTCAGTTTCAACCGGAAAAATAACCGTTCAAGTGATAAATCTGTCACCATTGTTAATTGTTCGATCCCGTTACGCATTTAAGCTGGGCGAAACAATGGTCTTTATTAAATATTCTGTACACAAATTGACTTTTAACACGATCAAACATTTTTACAGTTTGGCTTTCTATAGCCCTACCGCGCTCGCTCGACCGCGCTCAAGTTGCATGTGCACGTCAGAGTTCCCCACGCAACGCAGTCACCCGGACGAGTGCATATAGTTGAAGAATTTCTGTAGAAAAGCGCAGTAAGTGAATTCATTTTAGCCAATATTTCAAAAAGGTAATTCTACCTCTGTCGGCCTATATCCTCAAAGCCTGCAAGGGATGTTTTTATTCAGTTATTGCCGGTATGCCGTTGCCTTACGCCGTATCGCCGCACTGGCGCCTTACTCATTGCGAATTGCGGGGGTTTTCCCAATCTGTCGGCACAAGTCAAGTTATTTGGACACGATGCAGAGAGAATGAAGCCTCATGCTGTTGTTTTTTAGGTTTCGATCCAACTCGGACCCAAACCAACTCGGACCCAAGCCAACTCGGACCCATGCCAACTAGGACCCACTACCAACTCGGACCCCTGCCAACTCGGACCCACTACCAACTCGGACCCAAGACCAACTCGGACCCACTACCAACTCGGACCCATGCATGACCAGCTCGGACCCATCGTTTTCAATCATTCGAAATCGTTTTCAATCATTCATTTCAAAAAGTTTGTCCACTTCTCATCTGTTATTACAGTGATGCTGTTTAGTATAAATTTTCATTGTAATTGTAAGGTAAATTATCTCATATCTGTATTGCAGCAGTATAACATTTTTAAGCGCATTAAAATGCTATTTTGAAATGCACTTTAACTTGAAGTGTAATTAATTATTTATTATTTTCATTTGTTTTCCATTAAAACATATTGCGCTTTAAAAGTTTAACCAATTGTTTATTTCATTAAAACATATTAATTGACATCGTTCACACCATCTTGCTAAATTTAACAGCAATTTATTTCAATTTTAATCCAAACTTCAACGTAACAAGTATACAAATTAAGAACAGATCTTCATAGAAAAATAAAATTGGAAAGTATGGCATTAAAACATAAACACTTTCAAACATAACATTATTAACTCAATAAATATAAGTAAACATAAGTCACTAAATAAAATAAATAAGATATAAAAACGAAGTCTATTCTAATCTCTATTTAAAAAAACCCCACATAAACACCATTGCATACACTGCAAGAAAAACGAAGGTTTCATATTAAACAAAAAATTTAAATCAAAAAATTATTAAAAGTTAAACAGATTCATAAAAAAATCCCACAAAATTCAAAGCCAGCATGTGAATTAAACAACAATTACATGAAATGAAAGGCCTAAATAGTTATTTCAAATTAATAACTTCCTCACTGAAACAAAATGTGCCACTTAAAACCACTTGTTACACAACAAAGGCCTGCAAAAACAAACAAGTAATTTATTTTTTACTGAAAATTATAGTCCTTTGAATTTCGTTTTGAAAAGAAAATCGAGATTTTGAAAAAAGCACGTATATATCAAGTTGTACAAATGACATATGAAATGATACGATATGCCTAACCTATACTATACGCTATTAATACCTCTTGGTTTAGCTTCACAGGTCACAGTTTCAAAAAGCTAAGCACGTTTAGTTTCATGGCGTTCAAAACGATGAGTGTTTAGCAACAGTATTTACTGTACGCATCATAAAATAGCGCTCCACACAGCCGCAATACAAGAAAACAACAAAACTAAAAGCCCCATTCTGCCCAATGTAATTACAGAATATCTTCACTTTATAAGCACTAACATTAAGATCACCTATAACTATAATCTCTGAAACTAAAATGATTGAGTCATTGTTGGGTCCGAGTTGGTCGTGCTTGGGTCCGAGTTGGTCGTGGGTCCGAGTTGGTAGTGGGTCCGAGTTGGTAGTGGGTCCGAGTTGGCGTGGGTCCGAGTTGGCATGGGTCCGACTTGGCATGGGTCCAACTTGGTTTGGGTCCGAGTTGACCTGATACCGTTTTTTACACCAATACTCAATTATCATTCATTGCAGATACGTTGGGGACAAACTTGAATATGAATTGAGACGAGAGTGAGAATCATTCCCATTTAATTGGGGGGAAAATAGTTTAGGTTACTAGCCGCTACTCACTAGTTTTACTAAATAATTAATAAAATAGTGAGGAGGGAAAGATTCCCATATCTGGCCATCACTTGTCACCCTGTGCACAAATCCTATGAGACTGGTCTGAAAATTTCTAAGTGTTTTCTCGGTAAATACTTCAATATTTTCCCTTCTAATTTTGACTTTCAAGGACATTATTACAACTTTTTGATGGTTAAAAAGAGAAAAAATAGTCATGGCCAGTTATGGGAATCTTTCCCTCAGGACATGCAGGAGAAATTGTGGAAATAATGTAGTAGACGCCACATCAGCGGTTGTGCACAAAGTCTATGGAGAGTCAAGATAATTTTCTAAGTATTTCCTAACAAAATTGAAAATGTTTCGCAGTCCCAGATTCATGTCTTTTCAACATTTTTGCAATGACTGGCCTTTATTGGTATGATATAGGAATACAAATGTGGCATCAGGTTGCAACATTCTTTCCAGAAATTGTTCATGACTGAACATGAGATTAATACTAATACTAATTTAAAAATAAATAAATAAATGAACCTATGCAAAAGTTTAAAACATATTGTGGAAATGAAGTTGAAAAGTTTTTAAGATTTAAGTTTTTAAGTATACTTATTGTTTGAAACTTGTTAAAAAAACTTGAAAAGTTAAAGGGGTCATGCAATGTATTTTTTTTTTAACCATAACCGCCCTGAATCCTTCAAAATCCTCTTTGCCAAAGTGGAGGAATTTGGAGTATTGAGGTTACATGGCAAAAGTGCGTTGCTGATTTCACTGGATTCACTTTGTCAAGGTCTTGGGCCAGACCTTGTGTTGTTTTTGTTCAGCCATGCATAAATATAGGCCTGGATTATGCTTGAAATCCTCTGAACTGCTCCAGGATGTCACTGGCCAAGCCTCAACATATTGATGTTGTGCCCATTCTTGAAAATCACGCATTCTCGAGAATGGGCATGCACATTCTCGAGAATGGGCGCGCATTCTTAAGAATGAGCGCCCATTCTTAAGAACGAGCACGCGTTCTTAAGAATGAGCGCTCATTCTTAAGATTGGGTGGGAATATCACGTGCACAATTTATGAATTTTGCCCAATCTTAACAAACATTGCACGACATAATTATGTTAAATGAATTGTATAGCGGTTAAAAGGGAAACAAATCATATAAAGAGGAAAGAAAATGTGCTATGCTTCTGTACTCGTATAACTACGATAATTTGAATCAAATTAAACCTGTTATTATTGCTTTCTTCTGCCCACTATGGGAAGTTTTATAATAACGGAGGACTGGGAACTAGTCTGGGAAGTGCTTTGTTTAGGCTAGACAAGTTACAAGTCCCTGCATGTATCATATGCGTGCCACGAAAAAAAAACGATGTCAAGAAGCTGCCAAAATTGCTCTTTTGACTAGATAGAATCCAGCTCTGCGACGTTATGGTGGGATGTGAACAATAAATTGGTGGCAATTTAAATGGGAAATAGCATTAGCACTATGGGATGTCGCAGTATTCATTCTCATTCTTCACATTCTTCATTCTTACGCCCCCCCCCCCCCCCCCCGCTTTTATTATCCCAAAACTCAGAATTCTTTGCACTATTATTATTATGTCTCTTATCCCCCCCCCCCATATCAATACGCCTTTACTTATCATATCCACTCTACTTTTCAGCGCCTTGCGTTGCAACAGTATAATTATTGAGAATCAGTGAACGAGGATTCAGCTAGACTTGCCAAGCGCAGCCGGTGCTCGGCATCGACAAGACCGTTATCTTGTCGCGCAGTCTCAAGAATGTGCGCTCAATCTGGAAGAGTTATTTTTTGCCAAGATTGAGCAAGGATCCAGTTGCACATTCTCAAGAATGTGCATGCCCATTCTCGAGAATGCGTGATTTTCAAGAATGGGCACAACATTGACAGTCACTGCCGCAGGATTTTTCAGGATTCAGGCAGTGGTCACCCCTCCACAGACCATATTCAAGAAATAATGGAGGAATTTGCAGGATTGGGGCTACATCCCAGCTAAAAAGGCCTAGGGAGTTAGGGTTAATTAATGCAGTTCTTGAAAATGCACCTTTGTGTCCCATTTAACCTTATTTCAATTTTTATTGTGCCATTTTCAAGGGTGTTTTGGTGTCTTTTTGCTTTTTATGCTAATGTACTTTCCATATTCATGAGCAGAAGTGTGATGTCATTGCAGGCACAAACCTGAGTGTGCAGTTATTTCAGTACCAAAAGTTGCCAGAATTTTGAAAAGTTTGCTGTCGTAAATGTTTTTTCTTTGGTAATTCGTTTTTGTGTCAGTACACGCAGTGGTCGATTTCGAGGTGTTTTAAACTTTGGCTATGTGCATGTACAATTTTGCCTGTGCATGTAAACACTTTTGTTTTTCAGCCCATTTTCAAGGAAAACTCTCAGTTGTGCGTGTAACTTTTATTTTCTAAAGCCCAAACTTTTCTCACTGATGTTTTGAATGAACAAATTTTTGGGTTTGCAATTTGAAAAGAAAACCCCAAAATTGAACAGTGTCTCGCTGAAATGACATCACAGCAACAGCGCCCTCAATTGTCTGGAAAAGCATGGACAATTTGTAATGCATAGAGAAGTGCACTTTTCAATCAAATTAACCAAAAAGGGATGTCAAATAGTTTTCAAACATTTAAGAGAAGTAGAAAGTTGTACAAAACAAGTTCCTAAGAAAAGTTCATTTCATGGACCCTTGAATGATTTACCGTTTACATTATGAATTTGAATAACAGACAATTGTTGGTTTATTTTTCAGGAGCAGCGCATCAGATTGCAACCATGATGTTTGACGACTATGATGATTATGTTGACGATGATGATGATGAGTACTTGTACGAAGCTGGCTCAGACGATGACGATTATTTCATGAACCGAGATGGCGCCATCCTATACGACTGCTACGACGATGCCTTTGATCGTATGCAAGTCATGGTTGTTCCCGGATCGTCTTCTCGGGATCTCCTGAAAATGGAAGGATCCCAAAAGGACGAAGCCAAGGTATTTCACAGTGATGCTAGTGGTGACAAAAATCATAGTAATGATGTCACAGGTTTTAAATGACAGTGACAAAACAATGACAAAAAAGATAGTGTTGACATTATGATGACAATACAATAATAGCATGTGGGATGATTGGGGTAAGATCATACATGACACAATTTTTGTGGTGACGAGTTGAAGAGGATTTTCAATTTGTGTCCAACTTTATGCAGTTTATTCTCTTTCAATTTGTACACAGAATGAGCTTTCCAAGAACAAGGGCCTCGTTGCAGATAACCTTACTGGGTTCCTCAACAGCCCGAAATACAGCGATGTGACACTGCAAGTTGGCTCGCATCAATTCCACGCTCACAAAATCATACTTTGCTCCTGGAGCGAGGTGTTCCACAAGATGTTCACAGATCCGACCTGGACAAGCGCTCGGAGGGGCGAATCCAACGGCCCTGGCCCGCAACTCCAGGTGCTGGTAGAGCCCGAGGATTGCGTGGACGTCTTCCAAGTCTTTCTCAAGTTCATGTACTCTGAAACGGTGGCCTTGACCATGGCGAGCGTTTTCCCCGTCCTCACCCTGGCCGATAAATACCTGGTCCAGGAGCTGCGTGACGCCTGCGAAGACTTCCTGCTGGAAAAGGTCTCTGGTATCAGTGGCGAGGAAGCCACAAGAGCCCACGCCGAAGCAGAGAGACTCAATCTAACAAGGGTACAGGAGCAGTGCATCAGGATTCTTGAAGCCAACATCAATTACCTGAGTGAGAGTTGTGTCCAGAGCATGCCAGCCGAGCTGCTCCTGAGGCTGCTTGACAGCTCCAATCTTGTAGTCGACAATGAAAAAGACGTCTACAATGTAGCGCTGCAGTGGCTGAATGCAGAGGGGCAACAGGCGGCACGGAAGGAGCACGCGGAGGAGATTTTCTCTCTGATCCGCTTCCCGCACATACCTTCTGCCAAACTGAAGGACCTTGTAGACACGCCATTGCCGACGTTTCTTCAGCCAGATTTCCAGGCCAAAGTTACAGAATTGGTTGCGAAGGCTTTTGAATGGCGAGCCCTGGCGGCAGAAGAGGCCTACACCGTCATGGAGGATGACTTTGTTCAGCCGCGCCTGTACCAGAACCAAGCCTTCTCCCTGCAGTCGACCACCAGCTTCATGAACAAGGTTGTGTCGGAAACCTTTCGCAAGCTGATCCTGTCCATGGAAGAGCAAGATGATTACTACCACAACAAGCTGAGCTTCCGGGTGGCCATCCGGGCCGAGAAGAACGTCTACAAGTACGGCAAGGGCGCGTGGGAGGTCAGCGCGGTTCCCGTCAAGGACACGAGCTCCGACCGCTGGGGTCTCAGCTACAACATCCAGACGAGTCAAAACATCGGTTATCCGTACCGCGTTGCCATAGTGACTCGACTGACGGAGGAGGAAGAAGTGGATGTGAATCCTGTCATCACGGTGCATCATGGGAATGTTGAGGGGAAGTTCACCCTCAAGGTTCCAGCACCCCTTCTGAATCTTAGCGAGAAGCCCAGCAAAGTCTGGACCAGAGTTGTGGCCTTCATGGAATCCAAGAGTGGTGCCTCAATACCAGAATCCAAGATGGTACCAATGCCGGTATATCCCAATATAGGACCAAGGGCGTTATATTTGCCTGATGTCTAAAAGAAAAGTACGGACTGTACTCCGCCGAGCACTTGTTGCCAAATCCTCCCATTGTTTAATTTCTTTGCAGTAGTTCCAAAAAAGTCACTTATGGAACGAATGTTTAAGTCTCTTTGGGGTCATACTTTTAAAGAATCAGAGCATTTAAAACAGTGTCCCAATATTGGCACCAGACAGTGCATAATAATTTGGCATAAATATGATCATTTAAGATTTAAGACCATACCCCATACTGCAGCGTTTGATCCCAAAGCTATTGAATGCTTCAAAGTCAGAATCAGAGGGCCCAATTTCATAGTGCTGCTTAAAGCTACAGTCCATCATTTGCAGCTATCCAAAAAGTTACTAACGTAATTATTGTTGAAAAACATACTTGATTGAAAGATAGTAAGGGAACTAAAGTAAACTCCCTGTGAAGTTATTCTTTCTGGAACGATGTCATTTTGAAAGAATCAACGAAAGAAGGCTTTTCCAATGATTCCGTTAGTACTTCGGGTTTTTTTTATTCGGCAAAGCGCGGGAAAGCTTTGACACAACGCACAAGCGTGCGTTGTTGCTATAATTCATTGGATTAGTGCGCGACATCGCGTAGCTGCAATCGGCTCAGTGAGAACGTGTCTCGGACGCTGAATTCAGGCCCTATTCAAAATATGATTCATCAACTTTTGATTTGAAATGGAGATCCTAGAATGTTGTTTTACTCAAAATACATGTATACAGCTGAAGCTGAGCGGAACTTCATCAGGTTAGTTGTTCAGCACCCTTATTTAGATTTTGATCACTTTTGTTGCTTCAAACGAACAAAATACACAAAATACAAATTTATGATGGATGGACTGTACCTTTAACAGTTAGCAGAAAAGTTGTGCTTGCTATAGCAGAAAATCCTGCTGAGCTTAACCAGTTCGTGCTGGGATTATTTTGACAAGAACAGAACGCTGCGTGTTAATCTGTCATGCATTCCGAGTACCACAATACCTTTGCGTGTATACACGTCATCTGTCGCAAACTGGTTAAGTACTGTTTCATGGCGTGGATGTGCTAAGAGTTGTGCGTGCACGGGGATTTCTATTGTTAAGTCAGTGATTTTAAACAATTTTTTCCTTCAGGGTAAAGCATGCTTTTGCTGCGCTTACTGCTTAGTCTTTATGAAATACGCAGAGGCTCTGTTAGAACAAAATAGGATGTTAAGCAGCACTATGAAATTGGCCCTGAGTTTCATCCTTGGTTTTAAAATTATGCTTGCTTGTAGTAGCTCGTAGTCAAGATCAAACTTTTGTTGTCTTTATTCAAGATGTGTGCTCATTCCATTTCACGATTTACGATTTATTAGAAAATTCATAGGTATTCTTTCTGTTTTTCCTACAAATAACACCGATAATCTGTGTCTTGTGGCCAGATAGATCTCAGATGGCCAGATTATTAATGTGGGTTTTTTTTCACTTCAATTATCAACAATAAAATTGGAGACAAAAAATAAACCACAGATGCAATTTACAATGTACATGTACATCCAAATTTGTTGGTCACGTCAAGTCGGGCTACTAGAAACAGGATGTCTTTTTTTTGGGGGGGGGGGTGTTTCTAACCATAACCTTTATGCATAAATATTGGTGAGAAAATTAGCGATTGTTTCAAAAACTTTTACTCAGAAGCCCTCTGGAAAAGATTGCAGAGGGTGAAATGGATTGCCATAGAAACCCATCTATACAGAAAAAGATCAGTTTAAAGGGAATATACAACATTTGCTTTTACTGTAATTTTCAGAAATGGATAGATTTGGGGGTTAGTATTTTATAGTAAATATTGTTACACTGACTTGTTTGAAGTTTTGTGTTCGTAGATGCTGGAAAAACCAAGAAAAACAATCATGTCCCTGTAGTCTGGTTCCCTGACCCCCCACATAAGATGAAACAATTTATTGACATCGGGGATTTGTAAGGTCATGGAACCAGTCTAGCTGGCTTGTACCCATTCATAGGTGTGTAATCGATTGCAAACAAAATGTGGACTAACTAAATATGGTCAATTTGGGGTTGTATTTGAAAAAAGCCAGTTTATTTCCAATGCTGGTCGGCCGACCAGCGTTGGAAATTGATACAAAAATACCACTTTTCTTGAAATTGACAGGACACCAGGTGCCTTGATTTTACAGGATGCTTTAGACTCATTCACTAACAGTCCAGTAAGGTATTTCATAATACTTTGGTAGTTTTAGTTTTTGATGTTTGCAAATGTTGTATATTCCCTTTAAGCAGTGTTACTAAATTTAAAGATCAAGATGTACAATGTATCTCCCTTTAAACCATTGAAATTTGTTTTCATTATAAGAAAGTATCGATTAGTTTAATGTACTTTATCAGAAAACAGTGATATCAAGACAATGACTGAAGTGTTTCTCTAAAAAGACAAACTATGTTTCAATGCCTTTTGTCTTACAGTTTAATAGTGTTGGTTTAATGCTTTTGAAAGTTGTGAGATCTTCATTATGACCATAAATTTACATGTACAACGATGGGACTTTTGCAGATCTGTTTTGTACTCTTTAGGCCAAATTAAAAAAACAAACATGTTTAGCGTCCCCGCACGCTTCCTTTTTGGTGGCAGCCTCTTTTTTTTTCCTTTTCTTTCTTAAACGAATATGTTTAACAGTGACATCATTCTGGCCTCTTTATCTGAGGCATCTAGCCCATATTAAGCTGGTATGTCATTTCCTGAGTCCAAGTGGCGGCCATCTTGAAAAAAAAGCTGGCGGCCATCTTGAAAAATAGCAGGACTCTAAACATGTTTTTTTTTATTTGGCCTTATTGTAACCCCTTGTATTCCCTTTCTGTTATATAGATATGTTATAATGTGCTTACTTCAGTACTAAAGTATAGGCTGCATTTAACATTTTTATCTGCCCTTGTTGACTGAAAAACTAGTTGAACATCGGAGACAATAAAAACAATTCTGTTTAAAGATGTTTTTGTTTTGCTTAATTGTTGTGTCAAAGGTTTGGTTTCATTTACTGGATTTTATTTGACAACATGGAAAGATTTTTCATGAGGAAAGAATGAGGCAGAAAATAAGATGTGGAGGAGGGATTATATTTTATCACAAAGGGGGAGGGGTAAGTTGGAAAAGATGCATTCAATAATGTTCTAAAGAATGAGGTATTTTAGTCATAAAAAGGCGGCAGAAAAAAAGCATGACATTGACCATAAAAGGACTTTGTTTACAGTGATCCCACTAAAGTCAAAAGAGTATTTCTTGTCCATGGTTAAATATTTCCAAAACTTTCTGCTCGGTATGTCTGGTCAGTGGTGGCAACTAGCAAACGACCGACTTAGTGCAAGTTTATTTTGTGAATCTTTTATTGCCAATGGAGGGCGCTATACATTTCTTTTCGATCGTGATCTCTACATCGTGTGTTCGCGGGACTTTTCGAAGAATTACATCTTTTCCGTGATTTTTACAGTTCGTCAAGGTATGATCGAGCTTTAAACTAGGTAAAAGTGTTGCGTTACAGAAAGATGAGTGTAATCAGATCCTTTATAATGTATGACTTTTATTCTAGGTTATAAAAATTGTCCAATAAAAAGTGATAACTGTAATGGTTGGCATGGTTGGGCAAGTGACACGATCACGAAAGACACAATCACTTGCAATTGTGATATGTGTTGAGTATCGCAGAGAGAACCCCAAATTCGCGCAACCAACTTTCTCGGCGCTTATCTCTTTGCCCGTAATAATAGGAACCGACGTCAATCGGACGTTCATGTTCGACCTTCGCATCGGCTTTCTTCTCTGTGCAATTCCATTACTTAGAAATTAAAAGATTTTTTCCTGGAAGTATTTATTGCCGGGCCGTTAAATTCAAACTTTACCTTATTGAATGGCCCACAAAACTCATAAACAAATTGCTACGAGTACGAGTTCCCAATAAGTTTCGCCGTCCAACCCTGGCCCTGAAATGTAAAGACAACTTTGTTCGGCTTTCTTTTAGTTTTAACAACAAAGGACGTCATCAGATTTACGGAGCACGAAAAGTAACGTGCGCCTTATCAATTATCATGTTATTTATTTACCATTATTCATGATCTGTTTTGCCGAGATGCCGATCTCAGCACTTAGTTGTTTGTTGGAATGAATATGCTTTAAATTAGAATTTATTTCTGTAGGAATAAGACCTAATCGTATTGTTTGATACATCCAAAAATACTAGTCCGAAAATTTGGGACTCTCAATACTTTTTTGCAAAATCAAGACCTATTCGACCCATTCTTTGTTCAGCACAAGGAGTGTATGTCAAGAAGTACCAGACGGATTTTAGGGGCAAAATGTACAGCGTTTTTTTAAAGCACATGTTTGTTGTTGCATATCGAGTATGTTGTTTTTTGTTTGAAATCATTATAGTTTTGGCAAACGTTGGCACATCCTTGTTTGCAATTTCTCTGCTGACTTTGTAATGCGAAGGTAATTTCAAGATTCATGCAATGATGGTACACTCCAGAGCTGGTTTAAAGTGGAGCTAGCCTTTTACAACAACCATTTGGGTGGAGCTTGCTAGCTCCGGAGCTATTTTCAGAGATAGCCCTCCCCCTGAACGACCGCTGAGTGAACTGGTCATGTTGATTTTCAATCCTGCTTGGGCCAACATTTTGATTGGGTTTTCAGTGGTTACTCACATAGGTTTCCCTGAAATATTCCGGGTTTTCCTCCCAGTCATATTTCCTTAAGTCTCCTTCCTCATCTTCTACCAATTGACCCCATCGGAGATTAATTGAAAACTTTTGTGGGCTATCCCTGCTGAGTGCCAATGTGCCAAATAATAAAATGTAAAAGTGAAAGTTATTGATATTTATTTATGTATCCTTGCAGATTTGGGAGTCTTGTTTCAGTGTCACTACTTGAGAATCCAAAAAGGATACAGGCAGATTGTCATTGGAAATGATGGAGGATGAGCACAGAGATCAACAGAATGGCAGAACTATTTGCCAGACGTTGGACCTCTCCTCCACCAATCTTGCTGCGTTTTCCGTTAGCAAAGCCAACTTGGAAACCTGCTCCAATCTCATCTTGGACTACAACGACCTTTCCGTTTTACCTGAGGATGTCGGAGGAGTGCTCCAGGGCCTCCGTGTGCTGTCCTTGACCGGCAACCAACTGGAGAAACTTCCTAGTTCTCTCGGGAAACTTGAAAACCTGAAGGAGCTATCGGTGTCGGAGAACAGCCTGACGTCTCTGCCCAAATCCCTGGCGACTCTGAGTAGCTTAACGGTGCTGAAACTGGTCGGGAATAAACTGAAGGAGCTCCCAGAAGAGTTTGGAGCTCTCAAATCCCTGAGGAGATTAGAACTGGACGAGAATCGGTTGACGGCGCTTCCTGAATCCTTTGGACTCCTTGAGAGCTTGGAGGTTTTGGAAGCTGGGGATAACTCACTGGAAGCACTCCCTTCAAACTTTGGATTGCTAAAATGTTTAGAGATACTAAACTTGAGCAGTAACCGTCTAGCAACCGTGCCCGCGACATTTGGATCACTGCCTTCCTTGCGATGGGTAGATCTATCTGGTAATAAATTGACCGAGCTGGTGGACAAATTTGATTCATGCTGTTGCCTTGAAAAGCTCTTTCTCACTGGTAATAGGTTGAGCACCCTTCCAGATTGGATCGGGAAGCTTCCAAAGCTGCAGGAAATCAGCCTCAGGGATAATCAACTGAAACACAAGCCGCTGCCTGAATCGTTTGGTGAAAGCAGCCAGGAGGGTCTAACGTACTTGGACATGTCCGGGAACTTCATTACAGAGCTTCCGTCCACGCTAGGGTTGCTGACCCGACTAGATTTCCTCCATCTCGGAAGTGTAATTGGGGTTCTGGAGCGACAGAACTTCCAGAACGGGAACTGGATCGAGAGGCTTCCGGACAACTTTGGCAACCTGACCCTTTTGCGGGAACTCAGGGCCGAGGAGAACCAACTGAGCTCTCTGCCGGAGAACTTTGGCGAGCTGCTCTCCTTGGAGTTCTTGGACCTGGGTCAGAACATGCTGAGAAGTCTCCCAGACTCCTTTGGCAACTTGAAGAAGCTTCGGGTGTGCCTGCTGTCCAAAAACAATATCCAGGTGCTACCAGAAGAATTTGGAAACTTGGACGGGCTTTTAGATTTACGATTGGATAGCAACAGAGTAAGGAAGGCCTCATATTTTAGTTTGTTCAGAGGTGCCACTTTCAGGTTTTAACCTGAATTTTGGGGTTTTTTCTCTTTTCTCCAAAAATGTGACAAATGAAAAGTGTTGAATTTGTGCTGAAACATTCAGAAAACACATTTTTGAAAGGGGGTAAGGGTAGTTTGAGGTTTTGTTGTGCGTGTTTCCGGCTTTTATTCATATATTGGTGGCTTCTCTGTTTGTTTTAAAACTGTAATTAAGTATTCATAATTCTATCACAATTACCGAAAGATTTGGGGTTTTTTGGCCGTATTAAAAAATACACATTTTTGTGCTAGTCAACATATTGTACAGAGTAAACTAAAACTTTTCGTTGTATATTGTGGCTTATTGAAACCAAAAAGCATTCAAAACTTGCATCGATGTGTTTGTGAAGATGCATTTTGACAACACTGACATTCCATGTGGTTTGATAGAGAGTCGGATATACTACATTATTAAGTATTAACACTCTCAAACAAGAAATTCTGGATGAAAAGTTAATCAAGTCTGAGCCTAATTGCTTTATAGAAGGTGGTCCATATTTTGTTGACAATGGGAATTTCAGCAATCAATCAAATGATTTAGTGCTTTAATGGCAGTGATGTAGTGCCTTGGTGCTCGGCCTTGGCCTTAAGGCTCGATTTTAGGGCCTTGGGGTTTGAGGACAAAAGCCTGGCTCTTGGCCTTGAGGGCAAAGCCTTGGCCTCGGCCTTGGCCTTGAGGCTCAAAGCCTCGGCCTTGGTCTTGGATGATAGGGCCTTTGCCCCAGCACTGTTTAACGGGGAATCAGCAACTCAGACGCCCTGTGTTTCAGTGTTAGGCAAGTTTGAAAACCTAATTTTCAACTCGAGCCCCATTGGTGTATAATGCAAGTCTAGCTGATTGCCGTCTGATATCTCTGGCATTTGTTGTTTTGTATTCCGAACCAGTTGACAGGGTTACCAGACTCCTTCAACCGACTCACCAACCTGGAAACCCTGGACCTGTTTGACAATCACCTGACCGAGCTGCCCAAGGTGCTGAACTACCTGGACAAATTACAGCGGTTGGATCTCGACGAGGTATCATTCACAGCTTGACCTTTGACCTACTGTTAGGCTTGCACCCGTTCACGGATGTGTGACCGATTGTAAACACAATGTGGACTAACTAGATTTGGTAAAGTGGGGGCAGTATTTGAAAAATGTTTTTTTTTTTTTCCAACGATGGTCAGCTGACCATCTTTGGAAATTCATACACAAAAAAAACACTTTTCTTGAAAAATGACAGAACGCCGGGAGCCATGATTTCACCGGATGCTTGAGACTATTATTCACTTACAATCAAGTAAGGTATTTCATAATAATTTGGTAGTTTTGTTTTTGAGGTTGTGTATTACCTTTAAGGAAAGTGTGTCGACCTTGATTGAATTTCCTTGGGAGCGTACAGAAAAAAATTCTTCCGGGGATGGGGAGAAGAAGATATTTCACACACAAAAAAAAATCTAGAAATCTGAACAGCAAAGGCTCCCTTTTCCTAGAGGCTGACCTTCTTCAAGACTTTTCGGCTTCATGTGACGACTGCTTGAATTCATGTCAAGACATTACTTCATATCAGAGGGAAGCAACAAGATCTTATCACATTCAACAAAACTAAAATGATTGTGCTTCATTTTTTGTGTGGGATCTAGCAAAGTGTAGCTTGGGCCTGTCCAGTTTTCAAAAGAGTACGCCAGTTAAAATTTGCGTGCGGTGATCGATATTAATTATTATTGACCGCTAAGTGTTTTAAAGTAGGTATTTTGTAAGAGTCAAGGGCTTAATAACCTGTTGAACGGATGTGAACAATAAACCAATGTCAACTAAATAAAGTGTGATCTGTCAACATAATGCGCTGCAACTTTACGATTTAAAGAGCATCACAGTCGTGTGTGTGTGTGTGTGTATGTTTTTTCTTTGAATATTCAAACTGGCAAAAAGCTAATTTGAATAGTGGGTTGATGATCGAATATTCAAGGCAGCCGTAGTTGTAGCAAGGTCAAATTTGTTGAGTCTCTAGAAAGGGTAATTTAAAAAAAAAATTGTTTATTCTATTTTTTTTTTCCTCTCGCTAGAATGATTTTGACATGCCAGCCATATCCGTGCCAAACTTCACCAAGCCCAACCGGTACCCATCCGCAGGAAAATCACTCACCAGCAAAAACTGGCGGACAAAGATACGACCAGACGAGCTCATATGTTCACAGAAGACCACAGAGGTTAGTGTTTTAGACTTAAAAAAAACAGATGCTATTTTGAGTGCAAGTGGAACATGGAACAATGTTGTGTGTCTGTGTCCCATATGCCACAAGAGACGAAGGCCGAGTGGCATATTGAACACGGACACACTACATTTTCGGTGATCTTGTAGTGTAGGGCCCGGTTCCTATAAGGGAACAAAATCCACTTTAAAATTATTGGACCTACCAAACTAGTTGGCGACATTCTCAATAAACAGGTATGTCATAGATACATGTAGAGGGCAGGGTTTTGATTTTTGAGGGAAATTTGGGGGTAAAATGACGATGACAGCGCGGTGACAACACGCAACCCGAAAATAAAGATGGCGATCACTGCGTGATGTACCGTGAGCATGCACGGCGCGCTGAATCGCAAGGCACAAACCGTGCAGGAAACTCGTGATTTCTACCCCAAGAATCTGTTCAAAATTGCAAAACGGATGTCATTAGAATTGAAAAAAATCTGCTTTTGATTGTAAAGGTGATTTTTGAGCAATAAAAAACAGTTTTGACTCTAATTTGATCAAGACAAAACAGGGGCCCTACACTTCACGATCGCCACATTTTCCGTGTTCTACGAGCACACCCATACAGTGTGTACGTAAGCACACCCATATGTACAGTAAGTACGAGTGCGGATAACGCTTGAAGACGATTAACAATTTTGTTGTACCTCTTTGGAATTTGGCATATTCAGGACCTTTTATGTTTTATTGTTTGCACTTAATAAAGTTTGTTCAAAGTTTGTGATAAATTATAGAAAAGAACCGCAAAAATATTTGTCTAAATGTTGAATCGCAGGTTGCAGAATCAGAAGTTAAGAAGGATACCGATGAACAAACTCCAAAAATTAAATGGACAAGTGTCCTCGCCCAGGCATTATGCAAAGGGACATCCATGTGGCAGTCACACGAGGGCGCCAGCACCAGAAAATTCAGCGGCAGTGAGTCACCCGAGGAGTCAGACTCGCGGCAGTCTCGCGGAAGTAGGGCGACTTACTCCTCCTACAGTGATGACGATGACTTGGCAGATCTGGATGGTACGTAACTGTAAACCAAAATTATTCAAAAGAACCATCATTGGAAATTGATACACAAAGTCCACCTTTCCTGAGAATGACAACAAACCGGGTGCCATGATTTCACAGGAGACTATTATTCACTTATAGACAATTTAGGTATTTTATAATAATTTGGTAGTTTTGTTTTTGACGTTTGCGAATGTTGTATATTACCTTGAATTAATGTAGATGATGATTGCGATCTTCCGGTAAGCATCCCAGATGATCAACAAAGTGATAGCGCCCTCTCTCAGCCAACAGGGGAGATGATGGTTACCTCTGAAGAAAACTGGGACGAGGAACTTGAGGATGTCTCCTGTTATGGTAAGAATCTTAAAGAAGTCTTGGTCTTAGGCTGGATTTTGAGTTTGTGGCCCTAAGGCCCATCCGGTTCATTAGTGTGAGGTCATCTAAATTCAACCACACAGTGTAGCATAGCCCAAATGGAACCTGAAGTTAACACAGCTCAAGCGTTTAACCAAAGGGCGCTAGTAACCAGTGGTGCGCGCGTGAATGACGTTTTTACTAACGAACCGGATTGTAGACACGTGCTACTGCTGTACCAAACTCAATTAATTTGACTTTTAAAAAATCTGCACGGTTATAGCATGACGTTTCGATCCATTTGACTCAGCAAATTGAGTTTGGCATGGCACCATCCTGTGGCTCGACAGGGCCGTCACTCTATCGTCATTCCAAAGGGCAATGGCACAGCACTGTTCTAAACACCGTGCCATTGCCGTTCCCAGCTCAATTCAATTCGACGTTAGGGCAAACAGTTTAGGAATGCACATGCTCACAATACCCTCTCTCGCGTCCGCATCACAGGAAGTGAAATTGTCGCAAATATTTTCGTCGCACTAAATGTTCACTGAACTGCTTGAACCGCTTTAACCTGGCCAGTTGCTCCAGATGTATTAAGGTCGACTATTTGAGCAAGTGCTGTGCTGTGGACGAGCTATTACCGCTCTCATATCAATTAAGTTTGGCTCAGCAGTAGGACAGCGTCTAGAACAGGCCTTCTGCAACCAGTCCTTATCCCTGGCTAGTGTGGTCAAGCTGCCACAGAAGTAGAGGTCACTATCAATGAGATGAATCAAATCCAATCTTTGGAACTTCAGCACTAGGACCTGCAAGATACCAAGCATGCCTTTCATGACACCACATGACTGAGTGGGGCACTGTGGTCCAATGGTTAAAGTGTTCGACCTTTGTGCCATGGTACGTGGGTTTGAATCCTGATGAGGAACATAGTGCTTGTGTTCTTGGGCAAGACACTTTACCACAATAGGAGAACAAAGACCAAGTCAAGTGCAATTCATTGGGTGTGTTCGATTAGCTCACCCGGGTCGACTTGGGTAAAGGTAAACAGGTTAGCCACGACAGCCACGCCGATCACATGCTCAAATGCAGGCCATCATGTTCCTCACGTGACGTCCGTGGCCGTAGCCGTTGACAAAATGCCTGCTTCGGACTGAGTCTTACTTTGAAATCTACTGCTTTTCCATCAATCACAAGCGTAACAACGTCAGGCTGGAATTATAGCTTCTAAAATCACAATGAGATCAATAAATAATAAATTTTAGACTTCAAAATAAAGTTGATGTTTGGTTCCACTTGATCTTTAATTCCCGCTGACCGGCCGCCGTATTTGTCCCTTTCTTGGAATGAACAACGCATGCGTGTGACGTATTTTCAGCACTGACTCTGCTCCACGAGAAGGGTCTGCGGCGGCTGACCCGGGTGAGCACAGAGAATGACGTCAGAGCTATTCGAACGGCACGGGGTTAACCCATGTCGACCTAGTTAAACAAGCTGACAGGACTGTAGTGGGGACTGCCAGTTCCCCCACTTGCTGAAAATCCTTCCCCCTATAAATCCTGTCTCTCCGGGCAATTTTCCCAACTTGTTATTTGCCTTAGATTGACCCATGAGCGATCCAGTTTCAACTCTCGTTCCTTTTGTCTGCTTAGTGATCGTTCTTGTACCTGTTGTTTCAGAACACGACAGGATTTATCAACATCCTCTGAACGGTCTACACAAGCCAGAAAGCCTTGATCCTTCCTTCGCATTCACTCCTTCTGACGGCCACGCTATGAATCTGCCAAGTCCGTGCATCAACGCCGATGCGGAGGAGGGGCAGTTTGATGACGCTGATGAATAACCATGCGACAAAAGAATCCCTCTGGTACAAACCAAATCGGTTGACCTACCCTTATTTTTCATTATTTCGTTCTTTCTTTAGCCATGTACAGGGTGCCCCCCCCCCCAAAAAAACCTTTGAACCCTCAAAGCGCCCTCTTTTTCACAGCTATTAAAAAATACATATTTGAAAAGTATAGTTCATCAGCTTTTCAACAATGAAAAATCTTCCAATCGGGAAAATATTTATTTGGGTATGGCCAATTCAAAAAAAGTGCCGATTGTTCATTTTGTCCACGGTCAATAAATTGTCATTTATTACGAATATAATGGATTTGGGGTGAAGTAGTTTTGCTTTCTTTAATTTTCTAATCATTCTTTTTTTCTTTTCTTTTTTGGGTTTCTTTTTTAGTTTTCATTTTTTGCAACAATGGTCCTTTTTCTTTTTTGATGGAGTCCTGAAAAGGACTGTTTGGTTAACTTCTTAGATGTTTACTGTGCTGCTCTGCCCTCTACTTGGTAGCCTCTTTCACGGATGCAAGTTTCGGCCCATGTTTTTATCATGGCAGTCAAATATCAGTCACCGTGGACAAAATGAAAAATCGGCACTTGGTTTCAATTGGCCGTAACTCTATTAACCCGCCTATGGAAAATTGCATTGTTAGCCTGGTTATTACTTGGGTCAATATTGGTCAAGACCCCCTTTGGTTTGTACACAGTATGCCAGGAGGTGAAATTTTTACCTCACGCATGTTGTACTCAAGCAACTGCACACACATGAGATATGCTTTGAATATCCTGGGTAGCGCTGCCAAAGTTCCCAAGATTGGATTTGATTTATCTTGTTGATAGCCACGGCAGCTGATGCTGGCACATTGTGTCTGTGCATCTCTTTTGAAATAATGTACCGATTTCAAATTTCAGTAAACATGTTTCAGAATCTCGACGAAGTAGTCCAGGTCAAAGGTCATTCGAGATGAAATCGCTGATGTGATGTTATACGATGTTATGCAAATGCCCATTCTGCTTGTAACACATGAGCGTCCCTGTGCATTCATGCACCTTGGATCAGCATTTTATCCCCTATGACTCGTGACCTATATCATTGTGCGCATGCGCGGTTGAAATATCAACCTGGCTTATCGGGACAAATAGAACTTTAAAATGGCACTTTTCTGTTCATTTTTGTAGTAATTTTTCGTATACTCAAAAGAGAGTCATAAGTACTTGAGTTGTAAAAACAGTTTTTAAGAAAAAGCAAAATGACTTTTTCACCTTTCAAAATGTTGCTGCTTAAAAGTAAGCGGGAGTGTTTCATGTTTTTAATAAATTCATATTTTAACAAAAAATATTCACTTGTATTTTTATACCAGCGATTGTATATGCAAACATGAAAAAGTCTCATTGTTTTCTCATATTTTTTTCATATTTTGTTTTTGAGTTAGTTAGTTCATTGTAAGTAAAAATTTTGAAGACATTTGTTCATGATCAACATTATTTTGCAATAGAATAATTTGAGCAATATTACTTTTGTGATTGTTTTTGTCATAAACAGTATATTTGACAGTTTACCTCAGGCAAAATGAGACGAGCTATGCAGTGTTAACCATAATTATTGTTAAGACCAAAGTGTAGCATCGTCCAAACTATAGTTGGAACATGCATTACTACAGTTGGGGCAATTGCTGTAGTTGGCATAACTATCATTTGCAGTGTGTGGAACTTTCTCTAATGCTCTAAGTGTGACGTCATTTAGAACCAGAAATTGTAGTGCAAACGAATGGAGTACGCGCGCGTCTTGGTTCACGGGCTGAATCACGTGCTAATGTCTGTCACACATATTTTGTGCGCGTGACGTATTCACTTCGGTACTTCATTGTCCAGTTTTTAGTCGGTCACACGTGTTCTTGTTTTCTTGTTTTTTTTCTTGATTGTTGTCTCTTGATGGATTTTGCTTTCTTCGCCAACGCTTCAGGGCAGGTGTGCAACTTATAGTGCTTTCACTTTTCCCACCCTACCTGATCCGTTTTGTTTAATAATAATAATGATAATAATAATTTACAAAGTTGAATATTATTTTCTAATCATTGGACCTTTCAGAGTTTTAAATGTTGAATTTTATTTGGACTCAATTGTTTCAGTACTGTAATTGCTTTTGGCGGGATTCGTTGTGGAATGTGATGAAATTATTTTACCAACACGAAAATAAAAGTGTTTTCCGAATGATTCCTTGGCCCACTTTGCTGCTTTTCTTGAGCATGTTGTGTACAACCCAAGGGGCCAACATATAGGCCTGTTTGCACCTGACTGATTGATTGACTAACCGTCACTTTGTGACATAAGCCCTGGCCAATTTCATAGAGCTGCTTAAGCACAAAGTTTGCTTAAGCCCAAAATAAACTTGCTTAATATAATCAGGATACCGGTCAAAACGCCATGCGATGTACATTGCTTGTGACTGGTATTTAGCTGTTGTTTACTTAGTGTAACAATCGCATGGAGTTTTAGTGGGTAACCTGATTATATTAAGCAAGTTTTATTTTGCGCTGAAGCAAATTTTGCGCTTAAGCAGCTGTATGAAATTGGCCTCAGCTGTGTTGGCTGGTGAAGAGAGCCTGGCTTTAAAGGAGTATTTAACATTTGTTTTTGCTGTAATTTTTTTTGGAATGGATAGATTTGGGGGTTTGGTATTAATAGCAAATATTGTTACACTGACCTGTTTAAAGTTTTGTGTTCGTAGATGCTAAAAAAACACAAGAAAAAAACAATCACTTTCTTGTAGTCTGGTTCCCTGACCCCACTTCAGATGAAACAGAGCGATTTGTAGACGTCGGGTAATTGTTAGATCAGGGAACCAGTCTAGATATCGATGGCATGTACCCAGTCACAGATGTGTAACCATTTAAAAACATAATGTGGACTAACTGAACTTGGTAAATTGGGGGCAGTATTTGAAAAAAAAAGCCTGTTTTTGTTTTTCTAACGATGGTCGGCCGACCATAGTTGGAAATTGATACAAAAATTGCACATTTCTTGAAAATATCAGCACACCAGGTGCAATGAATTTACAGGATGCTTGAGACTGTCAATCACTCAGTCCAGTAAGTGTTTCATTATAACTTGGTAGTTTTGTTTCTTGACATTTGCAAATGTTGTATATTGCATTTAGATCTGACCCATCGATGTAGAAACCACCAGTGCGCGAGAACCAGTCTGATTTGATTGAATATAATTTTATGCACTCTAGCTTGTACGGGCTTGGTGAAAGTAAAAGTGGATCCATTTTACTAAAAAAGTGTACTACAATCAATGTAGCAATTGCTAAAAATATGAACGCGTGTACAAACATGGTTTTGAACTGTGAGCCACTTTTGTTTTGAGATGAAAATTGACAGCTAAAAATGTGGGACCATGTCTAGCCTTTCGAACCTCAAAAAAATGCACAAAGTTGGTTGAATGCTCCTTCTTTTTTATTTCAACATGCATCAAAATCGATTTAAATTTTAAAGGAATTTCAGGGGTTAAATGCACAGATTGCAACAGCAACAAATGTAATTTACTATCGAGGTGCGGCGGTCCGCAAACCGAGCACGTGGACCGCAAAACGCTGATATTTTCTGCGGTGCAAGGTTCACGAAGCGCGGGCGCAAATATGCGCCGATAGCATGCACAGACGTGTCACCGCTCCGTGTACCGAGGAAACGGAGTAATCTTTGCTCGTGGCTCTCCCATTCAAGTCAACACCCAGGACCCATGATCGTTATCTGCGAAATGGAGGTATTTTCCAACGTTGCAGTATGCACGATCTACGCTCAGGAACCAACTGAAAATTGACGCATATTGCAGTTTCCGCCCGATCGCGCTCCCCGCGCCGTCCCTGCCGTGCTCCGCGCTATAAGCAATGGAGCGGAGCACCGCCGCTTTGCTCCGCTCTGCTCCGCTCAGAAACACGTAAATGACCACATTTGTACATAAAGCACCGACAGGCTCCGCACAACAGGAAAGAAGAGAAATTGCGGATCCTCTTGCACCGCACAGAAACACGTAAATAGCCATATTTCTTACACGATCCGCAGCGGCTCCACACAAGAGAAAACAAAAGAAATTGCGGATCCAACACTCGCACAGATCTGTCCATTATCGAGTTTCAACGCACGCGGTGCACGCAACCGTTGTATCATGTGTGGTCTATGGAGCGTGTGACCGCGTGCCAAGTCGTCCGTGCACCGACCGAATGGCAGTAATTTCAGCAGTAAACTTTAATGGAAAACACAATCACACTCGTTTTCCTGACAATACCTCCAGAAATAACAATGTCACATTATGTCCGGAAATTGAGTTGTGATGTGTTTTGAGACCCCTCAGGCATCTCCTTGCAAATTTCAGGCAATTTCATTTTTTTGACCAAAATTGAAAGAAAATATAAATGAAATGCAAGGGGTTCCCCCTTTCAATTTTTAAAATTTAAATTGGCCATTTTTCTTGACTGGTTTTACCCCAAATTTTCTTTACAATTTCTCCCTGTGAATGATAAATGTGTTCTGAGATCCTCTAGGTAACTTCTTTGCGTGGTTCAGGCAATACATTTCGACCAAATTTGGGGAAAAAATGATAGGGGTTAATTATTCCATTGTGCGTCATAGGCAACGGATTAAAAAAAACCTGTGTCACCGTCACTCTGTATCATGTTATGCGATAATGCGCCCGGCTAGTTGTTGCATTACAAAACACTGCATTCGAATTGACCAATCATACCATTTAGTCCTGATTTGGGAATGGATGACGTCACGATTTAGTCGACTCCGATTTGCTGGCGTGCGGCTTGCATTATCTGCATGTCTAAACATATCAGACGTTATACTGGAGACTCTTGGCTCCGTGGATAACGGGTGATACTGTAACTATGTTTGTGCGCTAAAGCTACCAACAATTTACATGCCTTAATTACTGTCTTGTTCCGAGGGTTGTAAATGCCCCAAAACAGAACAAAGGAGTTGTTTTTTTCTGTTAAAATATAACAAACAGATGGAACTTTGGTAATAAGAAAATGTTTTTATTTATTTTGTGGATACCTTGTCAACTTTTAATGTTGACATGCCTCAACTGTGCTTTTAAAAAGTTTGACATGCGTAAATATGTCTGGGTTAAATTAAGTTTTATTTTTGCAATTTAAAGTGTTCTTTAATAAACTGTATGCTGTGGTTGAAAGAATTAAAATAATGCTTTGAAGAAAACACTGTGTGTTGTATGTCCTTTGCCAAACTTGTCTCTCTAATAGTGCATAAGTATATTCCCCTGTGAGAGTTTTCAATTTTTTGAAACATACAATTCATTTATATTTAAATTGAAAAAAGGAATATAAATTATACATGATGAATATATTTAATCATGAATTATTCGTGTTATTTTAAATATATTTGATTCTAAGAACAAAACTTCAATTTGTACAGACAATTCTAGCAATAAATTAATGTTTTGGGAACGTAAAAAAAATAAAATATAGTAATAAGGGTGGGATTCGAACCCGGTTCGCCTGATTGGGAGTCGTACGCCGGTCCTCGCAAGCGTTAACGCGCTCAGATTTTTAACCAGTTCTGCTTAATTATAACTGTAAGATAGGCTTATCGTGGCTTTTCACGTTGACGCCCATACAGGCTTAGACGTAATAAACAGTCTGATGATGTAAATCACTCGTTGATTTTGGTTGTAGAGGTTTGTGTTGATCTAAATTTGATTGGAAAAGGTTGAAGGATGTAAACTGAACTAACTTCGTGAAATTCCATGAAATAAAACAGATACGATCCGTGGTTCAGCACGAAGCACACGTGTTCAACGGATGCAAGGGAGTCTATTTCTTTTGTTAATTTCCTTTGTTGAATCTTGCGTTAACAATAAAATGTTTCCATTGAGGCGAAAGGATTAAACGCCGCGATCTTTTTTCACGCTTGAGTGCCTCTGAATGGGGAATATTGAAGCGGAAAATCACGGAATACAGCACTTAGACAACACTTTAGGCCATATAATGATACTTTTTGAAGAGGAAATTGCATACTGAATACAACTATAGTTTCAATATGCAAAAATTCGCCGTATATAAAAAGTCGAGGTAAAATTTTTGGAAAAACTTGGCCCAAACTTTCCTCTTTCCAACGTAGGTGGCGCTATATAAATTTCATTCTCGCATGTGCCGTTGGTTAGCGCCATGGCGCTATATATGATTTTATTTCTCAGTGCGTGCTAGCCGCCTGATCTTATTTCCAAGCATATTTTATAAAGAAAACTTAAGAATAAGTTGAATGGGTCTTGAATGGAACTAAAACAAAAGCATGAGGTCAGCGAGAAAATGCGATCCGAATAGAAGTCAACTTTAACGGAACAAAACAGGCGATATTGATCGCCCCCTGAGGAACTTCCGCTAGGGGCGACCTTTCTTGTAGCCGCCCCTAGCGGTATATATTAACGCGCGTACCGCTGGGGGCGACCACTATTGTCGTCCCTAGCGGTATACCGCTGGGGGCGACCGATATTGTCGCCCATAGCGGTATAAATTAATGCTTGTACGGCTGGGGGCGACCGTTATTGTCGCCCCTAGCGGTATACCGCTGGGGGCGACCGATATTGATCGCCCCCAGAGGAACTTCCGCTAGGGGCGACCTTTCTTGTCGCCCCTAGCGGTATATATTAACGCGCGTACCGCTGGGGGCGACCACTATTGTCGCCCCTAGCGGTATAACGCTTGTACCGCTGGGGGCGCCCTTTGTCGCCTCTAGCGGTATATATTAACGCGCGTACCGCTGGGGGCGACCATTATTGTCGCCCCTAGCGGTATACCGCTGGGGGCGACCGATATTGTCGCCCATAGCGGTATAAATTAATGCTTGTACGGCTGAGGGCGACCGTTATTGTCGCCCCTAGCGGTATACCGCTGGGGGCGACCGATATTGATCGCCCCCAGAGGAACTTCCGCTAGGGGCGACCTTTCTTGTCGCCCCTAGCGGTATATATTAACGCGCGTACCGCTGGGGGCGACCACTATTGTCGTCCCTAGCGGTATAACGCTTGTACCGCTGGGGGCGCCCTTTGTCGCCTCTAGCGGTATATATTAACGCGCGTACCGCTGGGGGCGACCATTATTGTCGCCCCTAGCAGTATACCGCTGGGGGCGACCGATATTGATCGCCCCCAGAGGAACTTCCGCTAGGGGCGACCTTTTTTGTCGCCCCTAGCGGTATATATTAACGCGCGTACCGCTGCGGGCGACCACTATTGTCGCCCCTAGCGGTATAACGCTTGTACCGCATACATTTAGCGCGCAGTTGGCTAGCGCATAGCGTGTGTGTATGGCTTATTGAAAGGGGATGCGTGGGGCTGGCTTGATTTTTGGTATACATGTACGATTTATAAACCTTTTTAAAAACTATTGCTCCACTAACGACTTTTAAATAAATATATTTTATAACAATAATGTGATGATTTTTTTTTCTAGGGCTAGACTGCTTTCCAACCCCGTTCCCACGCGGCGAAAAAAAATTTCCGCCTCCCCCTGCCTCTTGCTTCATGCGATAGGCCCTTGGCGTTATATACACGCCTGTTTTGTTCCGTTTAAAGTTGCCTTTTATTCGGATTGAATTTTCTCGCTGACCTCACTCTATTGTTTTAGTTGTAGACCGATCCAACTTATTCTTAAGATTTCTTTTTAAACTAATGTGATGCTCGGATGTAAGATCGGGCGGCTAGCGCGCGCACTGCAGAGAAAGCAGCACATGCGAGAATGAAATATATATAGCGCCACCTACGTTGGAAAGAGGAAAGTTTTGGCAAAATTTCCCCCAAAATTTTACCTCGACTTTTTAAATACGGCGAATTTTTGCATTTTGAAACTATAGTTGTATTCAGTGTTCAATTTCCTCTGCAAAAAGTATCATTATGTGGGTTAAAACGCTGCCTAAGTGCTGTATTTCGTGATTTTCCGCTTCAATATTCCCCATTCAGAGGCACTCAAGCGTGAAAAAAGATCGCGGCGTTTAATCCTTTCGCCTCAATGGAAACATTTTATTGTTAACGCAAGATTCAACAAAGGAAATTGACAAAGAAAATAGACTCCCTTGCATCCGTTGAACATCTGTTCGTTGACAGCTGCCATGGTACACATCGTGCACCACAGAAGTACCACAATCTAGCCGCCTGTAGACAAGGCTAGCCCCTTATCTATTGAACGGCGTGCCGATGCCATGGGGTGTTTTTCAAATATCGGCATCGTTACCAACTGAGGCCCATTAAAAAGTGAAATTCTGGTTGGATCTAGGGTTTGTTTTTGCTGCTGCAAAATTAAATCATACTAAATTCTCCCACACCGGTGAAGTTATCCTGAATCTTGGTCTTTCTTTTAAAAAAATCTCTATAATATATAGAACCTATAAAGTCTACAACCCCTCCCCCAAAAGAAACCCAAACAAACTCAACCAAGAAAACAAACACAACAATAAGAAACAGGATTATTTTTCCATTTTTATTTATTGTGATGACTTAATATTCCTTATTCAAAGAACTATGCACAGCATTCCAACAATCTTTTAAGTACATGTTTACATTTACAATACAACTACACAATATTTACACTGCAAGATAAGATTTATCGGACTAAAAGAAAGGCAGTAAATATAAACATTTAACATTTTGACAAATGAAGTAAAGAAATGAAGTCGGAATATGTATAGAATATCACACAATATTGTACATTAAACAAAATATTATTGACAATGTGACAGATTATGAGAAAGATTCCACTGGATTGAAATTTCTGACTTGGAAGTTGGATGTAGTGACAAGAAAATCGCAATGTCGGTTACAAGTTTGAGGGAATGAACAAGAACGTATTAAGTATAATGTCTTAGTCAGAAGTACACGTGAGTATTATTCATAAGATGGAATTTGCGTCGGGTTGATGTAATTTCAATTTTAGGTTTTGCCCTTCACCAACATATTTTTCTCACAATCACTAGGGGGCAACACTGAGTTTAGAGTGTTTATAAAATATGTCAGTTAGTGAAGGGCAAAACCCAACATTGAATTGACACTTGTGGAGCTTCTAAACTGACGAGGGACTGAAATGACTTCACAAACGTGTTCTGAAAAATTGCGAATTTATATTCATACAAAGCATTAATTAGTCAAATTACAGGTGCATTACCTAAAATCCACAATGACTACCCTCTCTTGGCATAACCATTCCTGGCCCATTTTCATGACCTTGGGTTGCTAGCCCCACAAACTCCAAGAAAACAAACTTCCGATTGTCTCAAAGGCATATACAGTGAAATCTCGATAATTCAAACTTCAAGGGAACAGTTTCGAAATGTGACTTAAGCAGAATTTTGAGATAAGCAGGGTTGTATATCATTGTTATACTACTGAAGGGAATGGATTCCTTGTTTGACTTAACAGTTGTTTTGAGTTATTAGAGTTTGAGTTATCGAGATTTCACGGTAACATCATTTGCTTTTCATGCATTTTGTTTACAATAATAACACTACTCAAAATCCAAAGATGAATTTTCAAAAACTAGACTGTCGAAGTTTCAACTCATCTGTGGACATTACACATTTCTCGATTTCTTCTTAGTGACAGCAAGCCAGACAAAATGATTTTACTGGGGTTGTTTAGTACCAGTATGATCTTTAATCCAAGTAAGCTTTTTGAAAATAATTTGGTTGGCTACTTTTGGGATGAATGCAAATGACCCTACAAGCCTTTAACCTTCATAATTATAATGAAAAATTCCATGCTTAGTATTTTTAGTTAAAGATCAGACTGTTTGAAATAGTGCTAATATAAAAGAAATATACATATTTCAAGGCAACATTCCTATGTGAAGATCAAATCACTTTGATACAAACAGTATTGTTCTTTTGTTTTATTTTTGGAAAAATCCCTTTGTGAAGCAGGGGTTTGGAATGTACACATTTAAACAATCTAGTCAAGACTAGGAGAGGGACTTCCTCAGCTCAGGAAACTGGTACCCTGTTGTCCTTGGCCCACTTCTTCATGACACGGATGATGTATTCCACCTGCGGGTTACCGGTGTTGCGCAAGATTTGAAGGATGTCTCGCAGTGTTTCCCTGTAGAGGAAAATAGGACAAAAATCTAGTGGCTTGAACTTCACTGGTTTTTTTGCACAAAAAATGAAAGCTGTTCAAAGAGTATAAGAAAAAGAAGAGGGAAATCCATAAAAATCAATGAATTTGAATAAGAGGACTAAGAAGTTGAAAAGTATTCATGAAAATTTGTAATAAAAAGCTGTATCCTCTCTGAGTGATCCCCGTTTTATATTTCCCAGGTCTGCATCGTGACTTTTGGTGTGATCCCTGGCTGCATGGCATATAGAGGTTTATGGCTTCTGACTTGCCCCCCTTTGACAGAGACATTGACAAATTAGGGAATCACCAACATAGGGCTGGATAGCTCAGTTGGTAGAGCACCAGAGTGATACTTATTGAGATGTAATTGGTCAGTGCGCACTGTTTGATTGATGTACTGTTGTCACCTGACCGTCACCTGACCAAAACTTGAGATCTGATTGGTCATTGTGCAGTGTTTGACTGACCTACTGTGGTCACCTGACCAAAGGTTGAGATCTAATTGGTCAGTGTGCACTGTTTCACTGATCTACTGTGGTCACCTGACCAAAGGTTGAGATCTAATTGGTCAGTATGCACTGTTTGATTGATCTTCTATAGTCACCTGACCAAAGGTTGAGATCTAATTGGTCAGTGTGCACTGTTTGATTGATGCACTGTGGACACCTGACCAAAGGTTGAGATTTAATTGGTCAGTGTGCACTGTTTGACTGACCTACTGTGGTCACCTGACCAAAGGTTGAGATCTAATTGGTCAGTGTACACTGTTTGATTGATCTTCTATAGTCACCTGACCAAAGGTTGCGATCTAATTGGGCAATGTGCACTGTTTGATTGATGAACTGTGGTCACCTGACCAAAAGTTGAGATCTAATTGGTCAGAGTGCAGTGTTTGACTGATCTACTGTGGTCACCTGACAAAAACGTTGAGATCTAATTGGTCAGAGTGCACTGTTTGCTTGACAGACATGACACCCACCTTGGTTCATGACCAGCTATGATCTGCTGGAATACGCCCACACACGCCCCTCGCTTGCCTTCCCAGTATTCAGGATTGGGGTCCAATCTTTCCAGGACATCGAAAGCCTTGGCCGCATAGTAGAACTGGCCCATCTATTGACAGAGAAGTTGGAAAATAAAAATTCAGAAGAGACTGTGACAATTACAATTTGAGGTCGAGCAAAAAAAATCAGAAGTTTGAATGAAAAGCCTGAATTTTTCAATCATTTCGCCATCATTTTCACAAAACGATGAATTTGTTCAAAATCAATATTTTAAGCAATTTGGGGTTTTTGGCTATTCTAATCTTTTATGATGTTCTCTACATGCATACCAAAGTTCGAGACACAAAAGTGCATCCTTCGTAATTCAAGCTCATTACACAAAGTGGTTAATGTGCAACGAATCAGGTTTTTTTGCCGTTTTGACAGGGATTTGTCACTTATTCTTGTTGATTTTACACGTGAGAAAGAATGTTGCAACCTGACGCCACTTTTTTTTCTTCATACATCATCTCAATACAGATCAGTCTTTGCAAAAATGTTTCAAAGACATGAATCTGTGACTGAGAAACATTTCCAATTAGGAAATACTGAATAGAAAATTGTCTTGACTCTCCATAGACTTTGGACACAACCGCTGAAGTGGCGTCTGGATACTGCATTCTTACCTACACGTGCCCTTCATTTAGATTGATGTCTCCTCTATGATTTGGGTTTTGACGAAGTGTCAAATCTGTTTCGTGAAATCGGCTGCAGGTTTAGATTTAGTGACTGGATACCGATTTGGGATTTCTGCCTAAAATCTTCACCAAACATATGATGGACAAAAATAGGGGGTGACTTTTTACCTTGTAACAATCGTTGGCAATAAGCTGCAGAAGGCTGAACGATTCGTCAGACGTCTCCATCTTAAGGTACAACTCCCAGGCTAGTCTGGCCTTGCGATTCATGATGTCTGAACAACAAGAAAACACAGACAGAGTGGTTATAGATACAGTAGGAGACCACCATAAGAAAATGCAATGGGACCAACAAAAGATGGGGAAAGAATGTTGCAACCTGACGCCACTTTTCTCTTCATATATCATCTCAATAAAGGTCAGTCATTGCAAAAATGATGATAAGACATGAATCTGAGACTGAGAAATATTTCTTATTTTCTTCGGAAATACTTAGAAACTTTTCTTAACTCTCCATAGACCTTGTACACAACCGCTGAAGCGGCATCAGGTTGCGACATGTGTAAATTATTTTTGAGCCGAGGGGGATGTTCATCACAGCAAATTTCTGTCGTACAATCTGCTTGAAACGTGATAAAACAAATCCCAAATGGCAAATATTCGATTAGGATGTGATGTTTACATATTTAAACCAAAACAAATTCTAAATCTGTTTAAAAAAAATTCCCAACATTTAAACAAAACCAGAATCCATACAGAGGTAGTGCATTATCTGGGCCCCATGTCCCTACCTCTAGTGATGTAAAAGCGCCGGTGTAGTCCCTGCAATCCAGGTATTCTTCCAGCTTGGGCAGCTGTTTCTTCTTCTTGCTCTCCTGGGCTGGAGTCGAGGAGCCAGGCCCGGTGGCCGGCTTTTGCCTTGACAGCATCTGTAAGGAAAATAAAAAAATCAAACACACTCTTTATCATATCAATGGACAACAAAATAGAGCAATTCACAACTATTCTTAAATTTGAGGGAAGAATGTTGCATCCTCATCCCTTTTTTTTGGGGCATTATTTTAATATGGCCAAAAAAGAAATTAATAAAAACAAAGCCCAATCACCTGGGTGACCTATTATCCCTACCAACCAACACAATGGTGCAGAACTTCATTTTCATTTTATTAAAAAAAAATAATCCATTTTTTCCACGAAATAACGGACACTGCATGCAGCGATCAGCTGCGGTTTGCATCAAGGTCGTGTACAGTTCGCTACGTCAAAATACAGACGTTTGACGAAACTGTCTGTCCGACGGTCCAAAGAAAGTATTGTTCCCAAATTTCAAATAGTTACGGATCAACCAGGGCAGCTTTTTGGGGAGATTTTTGTTTGTGAAAGTGGAATTTTAGATGGAGGCAGTGCATGTATCAAAGCACTGTTGTGCCCATTCTTGAAAATCACGCATTCTTAAGAATGTGCATGCACATTCTTAAGAATGTGCAACTGGATCCTTGCTCAATCTTCGCAAAAAATAACTCTTCCAGATTGAGCGCACATTCTTAAGAATGCGCAACAAGATAACGGTCTTGTCGATGCCGAGCACCGGCTGCGCTTGGCAAGTCTAGCTGCATCCTCGTTCACTGATTCTCAATAATTATACTGTTGCAACGCAAGGCGCTGAAAAGTAGAGTGGATATGATAAGTATAGGCGGATTGATTATGGGGGGGGGGGGGGGGGACCGGGAAAAAATAAGAGACATAATAATACTAGTGGAAAGAATTCTGATTTTTGGGATAATAAAAGTGGGGGGGGGGGGAACGTAAGAATGAAGAATGTGAAGAATGAGAATGAATACTGCGACATCCCATAGTGCTAATGCTATTTCCCATTTAAATTGCCACCAATTTATTGTTCACACCCCACCATTACGTCGCAGAGCTGGATTCTATCTAGTCAAAAGAGCAATTTTGGCAGCTTCTGGACATCGTTTTGTTTTCGTGGCATGCATATGATACATACAGGGACTTGTAACTTGTCTAGCCTAAACAAAGCACTTCCCAGACTAGTTCCCAGTCCTCCGTTATTACAAAACTTCCCATAGTGGGCAGAAAAAAGCAATAGTAAACAGGTTTAATTTGATTCAAATTATCGTAGTTATACAAGTACAGAAGCATAGAACATTTTCTTTCCTCTTTATATAAATTGTTTCCCTTTTTAACCGCTATACATTTCATTCAACATAATTATGTCGTGCAATGTTTGTTAAGATTGGGCAAAATTCATAAATTGTGCACGTGATATTCCCACCCAATCTTAAGAATGAGCGCTCATTCTTTAGAACGCGTGCTCGTTCTTAAGAATGGGCGCTCATTCTTAAGAATGCGCGCACATTCTTAAGATTGCGTGATTTTCAAGGATGGGCACAACAGCACCAATCCAAATCACATAGCCAGCAGACCTCCAAAAACTGAGTGCTAGAAGGCACACAGAGTAGCCCCGCCCTACTCCTAGAACTATGGTGAGCGGAGCCTCATAGATCAAGAAGCCCGCAAAATTGCCTGCAGCACAAAACACTAATAAAGTACAAAAACGTCCATCAAAATGCAGCCATTTCACATAGAACCGCTGCACAGTTTGCCCCTATACTCCGTACTTTATCTCTTGACATACTCACGTATCTTGTGCGGAACTAACATAGGTGGATTCTGTCGGTTTTTAGGCCAAAATGATGAAAAATATGCCCTTTCCACATTGAGCCAACCTGACACTTGAAACGTGCACGCATTATGATCGAGAGATGATTTTCGGTTCGCTCGGAGCGCGCCGCGGGGGGTACGGTACATGCACTTGTACGCATGCACATCATTTCGCTTGTACCGTACCCCCCGTACAATTTTTGTACTTTTTATTTTTTTGTTTTTTTGTCTTGCTGCACTGCGAAGTGAACTGTGGTAATTTTTTTTTTTAAGGGAAAAAACCCAAAAACCATCAATTAGGCCTACTAGTTTTTACCCTTGACTACACCGTATACGCACACACCTCCTGAGGGCCTATATGTGATCGAACACACACAAAAAAATTGCCCCCAAAAAACAAATTCCCTACCTACCCTATTTTGACAGCCCCTAGCTGAAATTTTTTTAAAAGTGACCCATTCTAAAAAAAAACAAAAAAATCCACGCTCAGTGTAAACTGCTTAAATTGTACTTGAGCGGTTTTAAATTATAGCTCAAATTTGTAACTCCAGCTGACATGCTCATAAATGATTCATTCACATGTAGCTTGAGTAACTCGAACTTAACAAGCTCATCAGGAATTTACAAATTACATGTGAATTCCTGATGAGCTTGTTTACCTGGAGTTACTCAAGCTACACACGACCACCGCACACATCCGATCGGAGCGGCCGGAATGCACTCAGACTGTGTCAGCGTCTGTTGCTAAGCAGCCAAAACCTACCATTTTGAGAGCGGTTTCGTCCCAAACCTCGCTAATGTTCAGTTTACACGAAATCCATTAAAATGCTGCAAGTTAAAAGTAGCAGAAAAAGAGTATTACTAGTAACTTCATTTTGCCAAAGAGCAAGGAACAGACCCACATCGTAGACTTTCACTCAGTTTCACTGCCTAGAAAAGGCACTGTAGCGCCCTCTGTCGACATAAAGTTATTTTTCTCATCAATATAAAGTTGTCTATTAATTAGGGAAAAAAATGGCACTAAAAATTTTGACTGAAGTTACAAGCTACGATTTCTGGCCCACAGTCGGCGGATTTGTGTTGGGGTTTCAAATGTGGGTGGTGATTTCAGAGGCTAAATAAACTGCTATGGAATTAAATGATAGTGCAAGAGATACAAATATTTTTTTGGTGGGCAATATCGAAATGTCTAAGTTGAAATAATTAATGACATGCAAGACGTATCCGTTTTTGGTCAGGTACATTTCGGATGCTTTCGCAGCATTTTCAAATCATAATTACTTTTTAGAATTTGAAATGGCCGTTTTTTTCTTTATACTACTTTATCCAACTACATTTACATATAAGCAAAATTACAAACTTTTTGCAACACATTGTCGTAAACGCTGGTATCTGAAAATATCTATGCCAAACCCCCTACACCGGGGGTTTGTGTAGAAAATATCAGACGGTTATTTATTACCCCCCATCACGTTCAATTAACTTCGGCACCAAACTCGTTTGGGGGGCAACAACTCCAGAAATACAAGATGTTTTCAATTGAATTTTCGACTAGTGATTTGTCATCATGTTTAACATTACGAGATTTAATTTCATAAGAAACCGTCAAACAATGAAGCAATATTGACCGTAACAATTCTGTGTTTTAAGCGCGACAAATGCAATCCGAATGAAAATCAATGTGTATTTTTCGCGTGTAACACACTACATTGTTACGATCATATTATTTTTTATCGTTGTACTGTTTCTCATGATATTCAATACCCCCTCTGTTACACATCGTGGAAATTAATTGCACGAAATTTCAGTTTAATACATCTCGTATTTTTTTAGTTATTGATCGGAAACCGAGTTGTTATTTTTGTTCAATAGTCAGCATCCACACCAATGTTCTTTGATTTAATAGAGGGCGCGCCACATAAATAGTGGTCCGTCGATAATTATCCACCACCAAACTCGTTTGGGGGGCAACAACTCCAGATATACAAGATGTTTTAAATTGAATTTTCGTCTAGTGATTTGTCATCATGTTTAACATTACGATATTTAATTTCAGAAGAAACCGTCAAACAAGGGAGCAATATTGACCGTAACAATAAAGTATTTTAAGCACAACAAATGCAATCCGAATGAAAATCAATGTGTATTTTTCGCGTGTAAAACACCACATTGTTACGATCATATTATTTTTATCGTTGGATTGTTTCTCATGATATTCAATACCCCTCTGTTACACATCGTGGAAATTAATTGCACGAAATTTCAGTTTAATATATCTTGTATTTTTTGAGTTATTGATCGGAAACTGAGTTGTTATTTTTGTTCAATAGTGCAGCATCCGCACCAATATTCTTACAATAGAGGGCGCGCCACATAATAATTATCCACCACCAAACTCGTTTGAGAGACAACAACTCCAGAAATACGAAATGTTTTAAAATTGAATTTTCGTCTAGTGATTTGTCATCATGTTTAACATTACGAGATTTAATTTCATACAAAAAATCAACCATTCAGTCAAGATCTGGGCAAATTAATGATGATAACCGATTTGTTATTTTAAGGAATAATTGCATTAAATTCATTCTTTCATGGTTCCTGTCAATTTTCGAGATTCTTGTGTCAATATCATGGCGAGATATTGGAGGAAATTTAATTTCAATGCAATGCGTTTATCTTACGGCGTGGGGGTCGGGGCCCGCTTAAGGGGCCCGAAAAAAATTTGATTCTAGATGTTCTGTGGTGTGATCTGAAGCATTTCTTACGACTTTCCTCCAAGCTTTAACTAATATTTTCTTAGCAAAAGATAATTATTTGAACATCGTTTTCGAGGTTGGAGTCATTGAATCAGCTATCGGCATTCTGAGCTATAGGCGTGGGGTTCGGGGCCTGCTTAAGGGCCCCGGAAAAATTGGATTCTCGATGCTCTGTGGTGTGATCTGAGGCAATTTCTTACCACTTTAACCAATAATTATCTTAGCACAAAAGATGATAATTTAAACACAATTTTCGAGGTTTTCTCAGCTAAAGGCCTAAGAAAATTTTTGAACATTGTTTTCGAGGTTGGAGTCATTGAATCAGCTACCAGAATTCTGAGCTTTAGGCGTGGGGTTCGGGGCCCACTTAAGGGCCCCGAACAATTTTGGATTCTAAATGCTCTGTGGTGCTATCTGAGGCAATTTCTGACCACTTTAACCAATATTTTCTAAGCAAAAGATACATTGTAGTACATAATAGGGCCCTGTAAATGAGACACGAGCTCAAAAATCGGGGGGGGGGGGGGACATTTGATATTGTGTCCCCCACTCTTCAAAAAGTGGGGGGGGGAACATGTCCCCTGTCCCCCCCCCCCCGGATTGACGCCCATGGCGTCATGTAGATCAATGATAATTTTTTTAGAAACTCAAAATCTCGGTGGGGGGCGACAAGGTTTCATGGGGGCGGTCGGCCCCCCACCCACCCCCCCCCCCCCCCCCCCCCGCCCCCGGTGGCTAGGCCACTGCTACAGAAAGAACACATACTTTTTTGTGATCCGTGGACAGAACTTTAAGACGGACTGATCGACGTAGATGCAGTATCTTGGAATCACATAACCGGCTATATTTATTGTGTAAAGTTGCCAGATCGAGGCTCTGCATGCCCATGACGGAAGTGTGAAAAGAGCGAATAAAGAGGGCGAAGATTAGTGGCTAAATATAGGGAACTTCTCATCAGGTTTCGTGGGGGTAATCATACGTTTGGCGTGGTCAATGTTAATTCAATTAATAAAAGCCCGACTTTCCTCACTGAACAGCTCATCCTTAACCTTTGAACTTTCGACCCTCAAACCAATACCAAGCTTATATCCTAAAAGGTTTAGACCTGTAATAGACCCACAATTCCCAACGCGGGCCAAATCATAATTTGTATGCCCTCAAATTCTTTGCTATAGGAGCATTTTGTGTGCCATGAACTTGATGAAGGTTTGTAAAACAAAATAAATGGGTGGAAGCCGTGCACAGAAGTGTGAGCTCGTATTTCTGTGAAATTCCCATGAAATTGGGCCCTAAAATTGCTCTATTTTGCAATGGAGCGCAAGCATCATTGGTTTTCAAAATGGCGATGGGCCACAGGACTACTTTTCGGGGTGATCATCTTTCGATGGAATTCTCTCCCATAAGTCGTTGAATAATTGAACAAAAATTGAACAGAAAATGAAAGATTATCGGAATAAGCATTAATTTGATGGTTGTCTCAAACACCTTGGAGAGTTGTGAGTATTTTTAATAATTTTCGAAAGTACGCGTAATTATCACGGAGGTCTATGGGAGTCGATTTGCAGGTCTGCTCCCTTAACAGGTTTTAATAGTCTGGTCTACAAACCACAATATCCCCTGACGTGTCTATAGATCTTAGGTCAGGGAGCCGTCACGATCAAAAATAACATGACAATTAACAATTACAAAATCGTACACACAAAACCTCGGATGCAAATCCTTTTATACTGCTTTATTAGCGTATTCCTGTGCAATGTATGCATTTTAACAAACTACAAAACCTTTGGATAAAATTAAATTTTGAGAACTGCATAATCATTATACCAGTTTAACGCATTTCATAGCGAATCCAGAGTCAAGGAAAGAAACGCAATTAAAGACATCGAAATTTAACCCCAATGTATAAAAAACACAAGTAAACACCATTAGTAAATTGAGCATAGTTTCACGAGTCCCACTTAAAACTTTTTTGTCCATTAAGTTTTTAATTTGGATAATAGTATACAATACAATTACGAAGCTTATATCTTATCGAACAAAACGCACTTGGTTTTTCGATAGAAAGAAAAAAAATGAAGCTTTATGCCATAATTATGTACATGTACATGTCATAAACAAAGCGTAATATTAATCAGCAAAAATATCCCATCAAAACGGAATGAATGCTGCTGGTCCTTTACAATACTGTCCTCCAACTTATCACAAATTCAGATAAACCCACATCAGGTTTCATAAAATGTACAATTCAGTCGTTGAAATTCACCCTGTAATGCAATGAGACGTTTCAATCATGGTAGTTTTAAATCAAAATCCGCTTGAATTCTTCTTGCGGCAAATTGTTGACTGTTGTGATGTGGGATATGACGTTTTAAACATCCGAGGAGCGCCGAGGGTGTTGAAAACGCCATATTCAACATCACAGCAGTCAACAATTGTTGATACCTCTGTCTTGGATTCTTTGGATTTTGATATAAAAATTACGTAAACAAACAGCAGTAAACACAAAAATCAAGACAAAAACTCACATGCATGTCGCGTGCTCGAAACAGCTGATCGTCTGCTAGTTCGCTGCTCCCACTCACGTGTGAAACATGGTGAAAATAGCGTGGGCACCAACGATACAAGCGTTTCACAACGTACGGGTACGTACAAAGTCATGGCACACTCCCTGTGGTGGGATATCGCGCACGTGATGGGAAGTGTGCCATGACTTTTTTTTTATAAACTTAACACGTGATCGATCTAGGCCAATGAAAATACAGTATTCAAGACAGAGGTATAACAATGCTATTCGACTAAACGGTGTAGATCTCAAAACTGTCGTTATACTGTCAAACAAACCCCCAAACAATCGTCTTGAAATCCTCTAAAACTACAATATTTCACCATTGCTGACAGCAATCACTCATCTGAAAGACGTCTAGTGGTTGCGAGTTAGCCCAATCAAAGACATACACTTTGAGGGATTCTATGATAATACTTAAAGCTTTTAGTATAAAAAAATGAGTTATCAAATTTAGCTTTTCAAAGCAATAGGCCTACTTACAAACATTTCCAAAACCATTACGCCTTTCCGGTGCATGAAAATAAAACAAAAATTACTTCACACATTATTACAGAAAATAAAGCATAGAATCTTGTTAATTTTAGGTGCACGTGTTCTTACCTCATCAACTTTTGAAGTATTTTAATAACATTAATCAATGCAAAGGTACTTAGTTTACTATATTTTATAATTAAGGTGCAACCTTCAGCAATTAGCAAAAACGTACGGATCTGAATTTCTTACACAAAGGAAAACGCAAAAATATGAAGAGATAAAATTTGATGCATAGTTTCCTTGACTTAAGTAAAGATACTGTGGATTATTATTCTAACCAGTTTCGGGAAGACACTATGCCTAATTATCTTCTAATGAATATGCACCACACATTCATTATAGGCACAATCAGTTAACCGTATACAATACACCCAGGATGGCTATGCATATTGGACAGGTCTATATAATAGACTGTTTCCACAGTGGCCATCCTCAGGTGTGTGATTTTGTTCAACAGGGACGCGCATTATAGAAGACCTCTTGTGCATTAATTGTTGATGAATTACCATAACAAAGCACGCCACCAAGGTGGCTGTTAAATGCAATCCCTCTATAGGCACACCTTAGTTACAAAATGGCGGCACTATTGTAACATCACAATTAGACAATGGGTATCCATGCCTGGTATGTCCCCTTGATACCAATGGGTATCCAGGGTATGTACCCCGGATACCAGTGTCTAAGTGTGATGTCACAACAATGCCGCTATTTTGTAACTAAGGTGTGCCTGTAGACCAACATTTTGGTCCCAGTCATGGAAAAAATAAAATTGAAGCCATTAATTCACATTTTTATCTTGACATTTCATAACATTTCATAACATGAAATATGATTCAAATATACAAAAGAAAGAAACCTTATAAGCTGAACATGCAGATACTGTCGCCAGTGGTTGGCCAATGGAATGTGACCTCAAGGCCAGAATAATCACAACACAATACGATTGTGGCCTGCAAAAGCTAGAGAAAAAAAGACTGGCCCCTTTATTGGCCCATAAACATCTCTATAGCGGCATTACTATTAAAGGGTTCAATGTAGTCATCTGTACACATCTGTGGCCGTAAAAAAAACTAATTAGTCAACTGAAAAAAAATCTTTAGAACTCCCATAGAGTGCTCTTTTTCATCTCCGTGCCTGTTGCTCTCATCTCACCGTGTTGTTTTCCCTCCAATAGTTTCCCGTTGGAAGCACGGATCAGGCAATGGGACCTCTTCATGAACTCCAAGGTGAACTTCTCCGGTGAGCCCTCGCTCAACGTGTAGTTGCCTTCGCCGTCCACAGTCCATGCTGTGTTGGGATCGCGGCCTGGATCGAAATACACGGTGGAAATCAAAACTTTGGTATACAGGGTGGTCCAAAAAACGTGTATACTTTTTTTCAGATATTGATTTCTTGGAATTGGGGAGACATGTTTTAAAATTGTTTCAAGATATTCCTAAACTACAGCATTTTTGCGGTATATGGTGAAAAACCAGTTTGTGACACCCAAGTCTTTGAGATATGGTCAACACAATAGCACTGCACATACAAAGAACTGCATTACATGCAATTGAGTAAATGGCCGCCATTTCTTAACTTGAGCTTTAATTTCAATACACGAGTTTATACGACCGGACTCACCTCTAAAGATATAAGTACCGTCGTTCTCGTACGACACCTGAATGACCTCATTGTCCACCGTCGTCCGGTTGCACTCGAAGTTCTTCCGCAGCCCGATGAAGCCGTGCTCCCCCTTCAGCACCAGGTTGGGCCGGTTGCTCAGCTTGAAGCGGAAGGTCTCGGGCTTGCCGATCTCGCTGCCCGAGGCCACCAGTGGCCCGCTGCTCTTGATGCCCACGAACTTGCCGTTGGCCTTGGCGCGCAGGGCGAGAGTGCCGGCCTCAAGCCCTTCATAGACCAGCTCGAAAATGCAGGCCTTATCCCTGGAAGTGAATTGTAAATCAAATTAGTAGGCCTAATAATAAGCTAACGATGATAGGTAAGATTCGGGGTTGAAGTTAGAGTTGTTGAAAATTACCTGTTCAAGGACTTCTTTATCTTTAGGATGAATTCAGGTTTATTTTGATGAGGACGAGTTTCAAAAAGGCAATAAATAGGCATGAAAACACAGTCGAGAGGGGCTCCAAAATTAGAGGAATAAAAGTAGGGGCACCTGGGGCACTGACTTTGATAATGACTGAAATTTCATCCTTTGTACAAAGAAATCAATACATCTTTTTTTTCTGGCAGGTATGCGCAGTAAAGTGAACGCAACCCACATGGGCCCTAGGCCTATTGGCGACAGATGTAAACAATTTGCACAGAAAACTGTTTTATAAAAATCCATAAGAGGTTATAAATTGTCGTCATGAAGTATGCTTGTAACTTAGTCATGAATGAACTAGTCATATTTTTATTTCCTTTTCATAGAGGGCGCTATTCAAACTGGCCATTAATGTAACTACCACAAATAATGTTATTTAGGCGCGACAGGTATCCATCGACAGATTCTTATCACACCAAGTTGATCATGTAACTCGTATTGTGAACCCCCAAGAAATGGGGTTAATAATTCAGACCATATCATATGATGTGTCGAGGAGGCTTTCTATAGGTTGCAGATACACCAATAAAACTGATTAAAATCACCTTTCTAATAAATACTTTTTTTAATTCTCAGTTGCGTGATTCGGTCAAGTAATAATGGGCTCCAATAGGTAACGGACACAAAAACGGTCATGTCAACAAACTTCTCCCAGGTTATCCATTTTACTTACTTAGATTTGCCGTTGTTGAGAATGTCTTGTTTGCCAGCCTCCATAGACCAGTAGTTACCGTTGCTGCTACGTACGGCCCACTCATTGGTCTTGCCCGGGGCACATTCCAGTTGAAAGGTCTCCGTGTCTGTCTCTTCGTGCTGATTGGCTGAAACGTGGATATCTGTCGATGGGAAAATAATTGTGTCAGACATTAGAATTATCCAGAACATGAATGTGCTGAACAATGTCACGTGCTTTGGTCATAACGTCAGTTACGGTTATATTCTTCCAATGTTTGGACGTGTGTACAAGTACATAGGGCTAGTTGAAGTATTCAGTCGTTAATTAAAAACACAATTTTCCTTGAACCATGGAGGAAGGAATTCATGCTTGAACTAATTGTCCAATTGATAACTTGACCACAGTGTCATTTTCAACAGTGCAGTTTTTGCAGCGCACAGTCGAACAGTGAATTGAGTACCGGTATATTACAATATTGCTCTTATTAAAGAGGTTGTTTTGGGGGCGTGGCAACATCGTTATTTTTCATCAGTTATTTAATCTTTGAAGCAGTAGAAGTACAAGATAACCCAATTCAGAAACTTTAACCTGCTCGTTTGTAGGCATTAACCAGGCCTCCTATGCAAACATACATTCTGTGCAAAGTTGTCCTTTCAGTCAAAATTAATCAAGTGACTATGTTTAACGGTTGAGTGCTCCCTTCCTATATCAGTAAAGCAGGACTGACTGGCTGTGACTGTTTATGTCACTTGATACAGCTATGCTTTGACTGTAGGTGATTGATTACACAGCTGTGCCAACGTGAGTGCCTGCTTTTGTCTGTTGACTGAATTTGCCTAGTCATAGAGCTTGCTTGAAATATGATTTCACTGTTGGTGACTAGCCTGTGTAAAAGGCATGGCAGGGGAAGTGCATGGATTTTTTTTTACTGTCTGTGACTGTTCAAACAGAAGGTGAGTTAATGAGGAATTCAATGTATAATTTATATATTTACAATACATTGTGAACAGACACTTAACAAAAATAAGCAGTGGAGTTTGCATGGTAAAATCGCTAATCGCCTTCTGCAGTGTGGATTACATGGAATCTTGTTAAATTTGGCATGGTTTGTAAATTAATTTTAACAAAGGTGTATATGCAAAACCGAAACTTAATCATGCTGGCTGCAAATTTAACAACTAGGCGATACGAAACTATCATGTGTAGGCTGGGCAATGTTTCATTTTCTACTGTACAGAAGTAGTTAATGTAATCGCAAACCCTATTAGTCTCAGCTGTTTGGAAACCCCGCATCGAGCCCACAATGCCCACATTGTCACTTCGTCTGACACCCTATAACTGTCACGTTGTCTTGATGTCACCTTGACGCCATTCCACCCCCAGCATCATTACCGGTTTCTTCGCCCCGAATGATTGGCTTTATCGCCCAGGGAAGTTCCCCACAGAAGTGCTGCATATAAAATTTTGACGGTGTTTGCATGTTGCTTTCTCCCTTCTCTTGTTTACGAAATTTTAATCCTTGAATAAGTGCAATATTTTCGATACTTCTTGATCAACGTCAAAATTGGAATGAGAGTCAGTAAATATAATTAACTAGACTTGAGCTTTGCTGCTAATATGAGCGTCAGTTTAATTAGTTTTCGATAAAACTCAACCTGAAATCTCCAAAACCTCGATCGAAGGAACAATGACTTTCCAAGGGAAAAGGTGCCAATTTATATGATCTTGAATGCGAATTTCCTACTATGACTTTAAGAGAAGGGAGGAATCTAGTTTATGATCATGTTCCCTGTGATATAATTAATCCTTGTTTTAAGTCCCATGTTCACATAAAAACCCTTTCATTCTTGCAATCTTTTGTCCTTTTTAAAGGTAACTTACTTCAGCAAGCACGCCAGCTGATATTCGTATATGTGGAAATGCAACTTTCAATTCTGATGAAAAACGCGTGTTAAAAGTAAACAATATTTCCCCACTCCCTGTCTGAGTCTCTTTTGAGTTTTTATGAAAAAAAAAACCCTTTGGAAACATAACAAGAATGGTCCTTGAAAATGTATTGACAACATTCTCCACGTAGTTTACAATTCACACAACTTGTTTGTGGACAATACCCTCTCTGTCTGCACAAGTATTATTTTTTAGTGAACCGCAAATTTAACGGCACTTCGGTTACAGGAAGCCTTGGATGTGGACTATGTCTCTTGAGGTTTTCTCCATTTCTAGTTTTTCTACTCCCCCCCCCCCCCAGAGTGGAGGTGTGCGTGAATATGAATTCAGCTCAAGTTCCTAACAATACGGCAAAGTTATACTGTTGAAGGGGTGGGTCAGGCCACTCAATTTCTAGAGCATTTGCATGAAGGTGCAAAGCTAGTTGCAACTTAGTCAAGAATAGCCATGTACCTTTATTCTAATCAAAGCAAAACAGAAAGACACAATTTTCAGTGATAAAAGTGATCACAACTTTCTAAACTCGTGAATTAAAACTATTTCTGATGCTTTAACCTGTCATTCTTGCATATTGTTCTCATGGAATTCCTATATTCTCATGTGTCCGTGCACACTGTAACAGCACGTAACGAGGAACTATTTTAGTTCATTGTCTTGCTAAACAGACTACACATGGACTAATCAGACCAATTATTCACAACTATTTAAAGAGTTATCACTTAACACCAAACACTTTCACTCAAATTGGTTTATCAGACTGGAATGCAAAACACAACAGCCAGTGTGCAGTAGACCACAGTAGTTCGGCAGCTGTCGAACCTATTTTCTGGCTAGGACTAGGAGATTTTTTTGACCGAGTCCATCCGGTCGACTTCTGTTGCAAAATGGAGTGGCTGTCAACCACAATGCCCAAAGGAAAAAGATGCCTTTTTGAAACTTGCATAATTAACCCAAATGTCCTTAAAACAAAGTTAACCCGATGCGGATAAAGCAAGTTTAGTTAACCATAGTGCAAGGAGCAGTGTACGGTTAAACATGCTGGTCTTTTAAACCACTGGTCTTTTCAAACCCTAATCAACTTTGAAGAATGTTAATTCTGTTGGATATCGCAAAGTATTTCCTATGTTGCAATAATTTACATAAAGGATTGTCACTTCTCCAGGTTTGACCATAAAAGAGCTATACTGTAGACCTTCGATAATGCAATCTGCAGTCATGACGTCACGGTTGCAAAGGGCGAGATCCACAATCCAGTTTGTCAACTAAAGATAAGATAAGTCGCAGTTTACAAAACATGCTGATACAAAATGCACATAATGAAAAAATGTGGGTACAAAATTTATGAAGTAGCATGCATGTGTATTTGATCTGCGTATCGTGTGTGGTTCTTGAACCGCTGCCATAATGAAATTTGGACTTCTACTAAAGCTTTTACTGTATAGGACTCTCTAACCCTCACACGTGACCTGTTCCCTAACGCATGCGCAATACAAAATGAGTCCGTATTATCATAGAATCCTAATTTTACACTTCACCTGTTTTTAAACGTTTTTCAACAATGTTCTGATGTTCGTCAGAGGCCCTTTTTATAACTATTATCAAATTCGTAAAAGGCCTCGTGTGTACCATCTTCGTGTCGAATGGGTTTGAATGTTTGTAATGAAGCCCAAGTTTTGCCAGACTTTTGTGGTGGCTTGAAAACCAACAACACACATTTTCAATTTCTGCGGGGCAAATTGGTAAACCGAACGTCCGGTGTCCTTGTTGTTATGATTCCCCCGTAATCTGCACCGTCCCACCCCGCCAAAAAACTGGAGGAAGAACAGGTAGAATTCCCGGCCTCCGGAACATTGCCCTGGAATGGGAAGTTCTCATTACACCGCACCCCTATAGCCCTGGGCCAGAGCCGGATTCTAGATGGGAAACACTGCCAATGTGGTATTATTCCATACAGGAAAAACTGATAAATGATATGAGCACACTGTTATCATGACACTCGTTACAAAATTTTCCTCATTGGCACACATCGTGATGGATATTTACTTTGTCATACTACCCACGGATATAGACATGAATACACAATTATGCCGTACATCACTGACGCGAAATTTCAATAATGAAGCCGTTGCATCTCGACCGTGACAAATTATGCACAAATATTAAACATTATACTATATTGCTTCCATAATTTTGGCCAATACATAAATTCATCATAACATGAGCATAATTGTTTACCTAAGTATTTAATGAAGCACAATGATCACTTATAAATATTAATTTATTTGAGAAGTCGAAACGATTTTTCCGTGCATGAGTTGTTTTCCCCATAGTTCTCTTTGTACCTCACTGCCACTTGTCAGCCGGGCAGTGCTATTGTATAGGATTACCCCGTAACGCCAATGCATAGACTAGATTTGGCCCATTGTGCAGAGCACATGCATGAAAAGACTTCCAGTGATATTCTGAATCAATGGAATAGAATACATGTATTCTGGGCTCTGGAACTAGCTTTACTTGGCTTGCTTTATTGGTAGTTCTTCAGGACTAGCCTGCCAAATCCAACAGAGTCCGACGGTTACTCATATGGGTTTCCTGCTCAATCCAACACAGTCCCACACAACCAAACTTGCCAAGTTGTTGGGTACCTGAACACATAAAACGACTGGCACGCTCAATCCAACAGAATCCAACTGATTATTTCTCAGTTGTCCGCTGGATCCAACAGAGTCCAACTTGGCGTAATTTACCATCAGTACCCAACAGAATCCGACTCTGAATGTTTTCAATTACCTGCTGAATCCAACAGATTTCAACAGGAATATATACAAGGGTTTACTGCTCAATCTAACAGGATCCATCGGGTATGTAAAATAGTTGGATCATGTTGGATTGAGCAGGTTTAAGTTTAAAATGCATTGCCGATACAACCAAACTAATTTTACCTCCATGAACCGAGTCAGCGGACAGAAGCTTCTCATTAATTATAACAAAACGAACAATCGTTTCATTTACGTAAATTGGAAGGCCATGGGCATGAACAATCTTTAGACCATTAAGTAAACATGTATACCTACATGGATTATTACTATACAAGAGAATAATAAATTGTACATGAACATCTGCACGATTCAAATTTCAATGAACTGATGGCAAAAACAGACACTTGGGGAGACATGAATAATTGATTCTCTTTTTAATTTGATAACTACCCAC